GACACAGAGGGAAGCCTGAAGGGAGTGACCCCAGCTGGCGTGGGGCGTAGGAGGCACCGATGTGAGTCCCCAAGCAAGACAGCCAGGGTGTCCATCTCAGGTCCCGCCCTACAGGGGCACCTCACGGGCAGTGAGCCCAGACAGAGGCCGCCTCCCCTGAGGGCTGCAGCAAGAGGAGCAGCTCCGGGGGCCCGGGAAGTACAGGTGAGTGACCATCAGCAAGGCTGGGGTCCTCCAAGAACCCCTGGAAGCTCTCGGAGCAGGCCCAGGGGAAACACACACCCCACACCGAGAGTGGAGGCCATGCTTTCTCTCTCCACGCCAGGACTGCCGCGGGCAGAGCCAGCTTTGAAGAAGAGGGTGTGCTCTGCTTTTCCACCACCAGGCGGCGCATGTGTAGCCAAGAGCTAGGGCTGTCCAGAACGGAAAGAAGGAAGTTGTAAGGGGGACCCAGTCTCAGTTTTGATGAATACCTATGGGCATCACCTCATGGACACTAAGGCACCTACATTTGTCCATGTTTTTGCCTCGTTCGCAGTGTGAGCTCAGACAAGAGCTATGCTCACCAGCCCCTGGCTCTGCGCCCCCTCCTAACGCTGTGTGTCTCATCTCCACCCCAGCTCCTATGCGGGAACAGGTGGTATGGAGCAGGTGTTGGACTACCTTCATCGCCACCAGAGGGCGCTGGAATTACTGCCAGGGATGGCTGGCGTTGGTGAGGCTTCCTTCAAGAGGGTACAGGCTTCTAAGTTGCTACCGTGCCTCTGCCAGCTGGGTGACCCAGGAGTGCAGGTCCCTACCGGTGGGAGGGGCTGGGAGGAGCCCAGGTTTCAGGACAGGGTTGAGTGCTTAGCTCTAGGAGGGGCTGGGGCACCCTGCGCAGCCAGCAGAAAGGTCAGGGTCAGCGTTAGAAGTAGGATCTGAGGCTGGGGATATAACCCATGGGCACAGCACCTGCCTGGCAAGCACAAGGCTTTGAGTTCGATTCTGGGTAACACCCCCCCCACTAAAAAAAAGAAGTAGGATCTGGAGAAGGGTTTGGAACTGAGGCCGCACCCCACACTACCCTGGCAGGCGGGTGGGCCAGCCCCTAGGGTGAGGGACGAGGGGCACCTTGTGACACCCTGAGACAGATCATTGTGACATCTGTCAACAGTAAAGCCATCACAGCAGTTACAGTGTCCTCAACAAAGGGACAGATTGACGTGTGCACAGATGAAAGGGCACGGCAGCTTGGAAATGGTTTTGAAATATGCTGCTCCACCCCAAACCATTGGGCTCCACCCCAAATCTAGGGAGCCGAGGAAGCAAGATTTTCTAAATGTGATGTGGGGGAGGTCTCCATCTGTGTGATGTTTGACATTTTCTGAGAAGTTAGAGGAGGAGAAGATCTGCAGGAAGAACGGGCCTGGAATTAGTCTCCACCTTGTAAAAATGCATGTTTTGGGGTTTGTAGTCACCAAACAGCGGCCTTCCCAGCTGTGTACTGGATAGGCCCCTGAAAGAGGCCTGGGGGTCTCACAAGTCCTTTCTTCTGAGTTTTGTTGTGAGCTGTTTTTGTGGCCAGCCTCTTTGCGGGTCACAGAAGGAAGGTCTCAGGGATGGAATGTGTGGCCTTTCCAGTGACCCCACCCCCCGCCAGAGTCCTCCTACCCCAGGCTGCCCCTCCAACCTCAGGGCCAAGGCACACCACGCACAACGGGAACCAGAGCGGCAAGGTCCAGGAGCGTCGGTGGAGAACTCATCAAAGTTTCCCTGTCCCCACCAGCAGCACTGGAAGTGTTCTCGTCCTCACTGGTCCCCCACTGGGCTCCCAGCGGCCCCACAGACCCGTGGCCTTGTGAACCCCCTTCCCACCCAGCGCTCCTGCCCACCCTGCTCTGCCCCGGGCTGTAGAAAAAGCCACTCACTGGGGCTGGGGATTTAGCTCAGCGGCAAAGCGCCTGCCTGGCAAGCGCAAGGTTGTGAGTTCGGTTCCCGGTACCGGAGAAAAACCAAAACCACAAAAACAAAACAAAACAAAACAAAACCGAAAAAGCCACTCACCGAACACAATGCCCTGCAAGGGGCTGCCGGAGGCCGCATGGCCAGCCTGCGCTCTGGACCTGGGCCTTCCCCACCCTGCCCTTGGATGCTGGGGTCCTCTGGCTGAGGGTTCCTCTCCTCCCCACCTGCTCTGGCCGACACCCGGCCGCTGCAACAGGAATTAGTGAAACCGGGGTTAGGATTTCATTAGATGTGAAGGGCAGCGGCCCCAAAACGGGGTTGGGAAGCTTGGAAAGGCTCGTGTGGCGCTGCGACTCTCCGGAGATCTTATAAACACATCAGCGGGGCCTGGCGGCCGTCGGGGACGTCCCCAGAGCAGGGTCAGGTGCGCCACTGGCTCAAGGGCGCACGGGCCCTGCACAGACACCGTGGGAGCACTACACAGATTGGACCCCAAAAAGTAAGCGGTCTCCCACGGGGTAGAGGGTACACGGCTTACTCAACGGCCGAGCTCCTTCCCAAACCGCTTAAAAACCCCGAGACTCCGCTCAGGACTGCGCCCAGCTGCGGAGCGCTACCGCCCTGCCTTGCGTCTTTCTGGTCCTGTGCCTGCCCCGCCCTCCGCCCCCTGCGGTTTCCTTCCTTGTCGTCACGTGACCCGACTCCAGCGTTCTGGCACACCATCCCAAACACACCTGGCCTGGGGACGGCGGCCTCCTGACGTCTCCAGTGGGCGCCGGCCACACTGCCCTTGGGAGCCAGGGGCGCTTCCCCTCCCCGCAGCCTGTCCAGGGCCCGGCTCACGCCCTCCCGGCCACCTTCAGGGCTCTCTCAGCCCACGGCAGCACCACCTGACCGGAGAGCATCAGGCTCACCTGCCCGACCCAATCTGCCCGCGGGCCCTCTGACGCCACCGTGAAATCTATGGAGGATGCCTCCACCCCTCCCCGGGCCCCTCCCCACCCCCCAGGTCATGGTCGCACCTCTCTCCATGCTCCTTGGTCCAGAACTTGCAAAGTACCACCCATGCCCTTGCACCTGCGCAGAGGCTCCCTTTTGGTCCGAGGGTTCGGGGGAAGCCCTCTCCGTGCCCTGGCAGGGCTCTCCCGGCTGTCTTGCGCAGGCTCGTGCCCCGCTCAAAGGCTTCGCCAGGGCAGGCCTGGCCCGTGGGCCCCTCCCCGCTCCTCCAGGGTCACCCCTCCTCTCTCTGCACCTTGGGGAGCTTCCTGGAGCCCCAGGCTCACTCCCCTCTTCCTGTTCCGTGCTCGTTCCCTGCCCCGCCCTCAGCACGGTTGCTGATCCACACGCGACAGGGCGCTGCCCTGACTGCACCTGCGTCCTGCCGGCCACCCGACGAGCCACCTGGGCAGGCTGGTCTGGCTCTGCCCACGCCAATCGCTGAGCGCCTATTTGTCAGGATGTGTTCGGAGCCAGTGTCAGTCTTGAAATCACTGCCTGGGGGGCCTCAGCTTCTCTGCTTCCCGGGGAGGCGGTGAGCTGCCCAAATCCCCCCCAAACCGCAGCATGAATGCCAGGTAGCTCCTGGCCCCGGTCTGGCGGCAGTCCCCTCCAGGCCGACTTCCCAGGCCGCGGCAGGCTGGCAAAAGGCCCAGCCCCCACAGGGCCCAGAGTGGCCCCTGTGAGCGGAGACCTGCAGCGCCGCCATCCAGCCTGCCTGCCCGCCCTCCGCCGCGGGCCAGGCGACCCCTTTCGGCTGCCTCGCGCCCTGGCTTCTCCTTCCCTGCTGGAGAACACGGGCTTCTGCCCAGGGGGCCTCGGGCGCCACTGTTGTTTAAGGGAGAGATCATTCTGGGTCCGAGGAAATCCAGCGTTTCATCTGTGCTCGACCTGACCACGAACACAACTTTAACATAGTTCAATGTGAAGAGCCCCTTGAGGATTGTTTCCCAATGGCAAACTTTCTTTTGCTCACAGACTTACCTGTTGTACCTACCAATAAGCAGTGCTCGTTACTTTCCTCATCCCATGTGTCCCGGGGAGGCCAGGCGGACGTGGCCACAGGCTGCTGGAAGGGAACCGGCCACACGGGCCGCCTCTCTCCCCAAAGTCCTTCCTCGGCCTATTTGCCTGAGGTGTGAGCAAGCCCTGCTCGCTATGTTAATAAGTCAGGGTGTAAATAATCCCGGATGTGCCAGGGACTACAGGCCCATTAGAGGACAGCACTATCTTCGCAACTGCCTACATTTAACAGATGTAAAACTTGTCACCATTGCTATGGCTGATACCTAGCCGTCCCCCAGAGACGCAGGAGCTCGTAGGCGGGGCTTTGGAGGGTGCCTGGACCATGGGGCTTAGAGCTGACTTGCTGCTAGGAGGTGGGGTGTGGGCGGAAGAGGCTGCTCACGGGGGTGTCCATTGGAAAGGCCCATTTCCCGCCTGGCTCCTCCCCTGGCACTCTGCTTCCTGTGCTCCATGACGAGAGCAGGTCTCCTCCCCATGCCCGGTGCCAGCTGTCTTGCCTTGGAGCCAGCCTACCTTTCCTCCTTTACTTTGGGGGTGTGGGGTATGGTGTCTTAGCGATGGTTACAGTGACTAAGACAACTATCTTCGTGATTAATGAACTATAAAATAGAATACCTAATAGCATACAAATATGTAAGGTATTAGTGTCTGTGTATATCTACAGACTGACCTGTCTTTTTGACTTACATGTCAATAATGGATCCCTTTATCTTTTTTTTTTTTTTCCAGGACCAGGCACAAGGTCATGAACTCATGACCTTGCACTTGCCAGGCAGGCGCTGTGCCGCTGAACTAAATACCTAGCCCCTGATCCCTTTACCTTTCTTGATATCAAATTATTTCTTCAATTACTAATTTAAATTGACTGGCTTTGCCAGTATTCACACAACCGAGGAATTGGCCTGAGTTCCTTAGCGCTATCTTGTTTGAAGAACGCATCCATGCCATATGCAGAGTACGGCTCCATTTGCAGATAAACCAGGTGAGAAAAAAAATCTGAATATGAAACAGAATATAGTGTGACTCATATCTAATTTTAAATATTTTAATTTATATGCTTTCAGGAATATAGGTCAATAAGAAATCCACTTTTCAAATTTTATTGCATTATAGAATATATTTGATAAGGGTACATAGGAACAGATTCATCTTTTAACACGCACTGCCTGCCGGTGCCCTGCACTCCCCAGCAGGCTAGAGATGTCGTGAAAAGTGTCTCCAAGTATCGCCTGTAATCAGCCACCCTAAACAACCAGTGCTGTAGAGTTTAGATAACTGAATTCACCCCACCTGCTTAGAACGAGTAAAAATCTTAATATTTGTTCTTAAGTCTGTTTATTACTCTTCTATTAAAAATCCGAGATACATTCCCCAATGTAAACAATAAATCTCAATCTGTCACACAATGGATAAGGCTTTCTTGACAAGTGTACGCCACCTACGTCCTACCCATCAGAACACGGTCTTTTGACACACTGTCCCAAGCCATCCGCGCACAAAAGACAGGACGAGAAGGTGGCCTTCGTACCTGGAGCCATTAGGGACCGCTCCCCTCCGCAGGTACGCTGAAGATTTCTTCTCGACGTGGTCTACTTGGTCATAAAATACAAATGTACAGTGTCCATAGCGTAAAACAGTAAAGCCTGGCCTTAGGTATTTATTATGAGCTGATCACACCCTATACAAGCACAATGCCATGTCATGCCATGAATATACAGAGGAAGGTGGCTAAACGTCTTGCTGTTCACCAATGTGAGCGGGTGGCTGTGCTGGGGACGGCAGGGCAGCATGACCAGAAATGGAAGCGCCTGTACACTCTGCTGCAACGCGCACGCTCATCCGCCTGCACAAGAAGAACGCGACCCCCTGGCTTGCCACTCCCAGAAGGACAGTTTCAGGAAGCCCTAGAAAACGTAACCCAAGGAAGGCTCACATTGGCATTTCCCGACTCAGCTGCCCGAGTCAGTTACTCACTCTCTTCTCGAAGGATTTATCCTTACAGGACCGTTAGGCAACAGCGGTCACGGTTCAGTACCTCACGTTTATCATAAATATCTGACTTAGCAAGCTGGATGGTGAAACGGTGAAGACTATATACAGTTTTTTAAAAGGCATTCTGTGACCATTTTTGAAGAGTTCATAGGAAAGTTGCTAAGGATACATCAGTCCCTCCTGTCGATGCCACTGTCCTGTGAACCCGGGGACCTGCTCTATCCCTCGTACGCTGCCTCGTCTGTTGTACAAGGGAAGCGGAAACACACCTGCTTATCCGGCGTGACACTCGCTGACTCCCTAAGCTAAGGTAACCGGTGGAGGGATAGTTTTCCTGAGGTTTGTAAGAATTTTTAGTCAAAACAGAAATCACAGTGACCAAGCGGAACGCGAGTCGGTCTTCTCGGGCACCACCTGCTGCCCGGCTCGTGCGGGGCTAAATGACCCTCCACTGCATGATGCTGGTGTCCTTCCCGCCCGTGGAGATGAGGTGGCTGTCTTCACACAGGAAGTCGACGTTGGTGACGTGGCTGCTGTGGCCGCCGTAGATGTGGCTCGGCGCCTGGGAAGGAGGACAGGGAGGGAAGCTTACTGCACAGCGAAACACGACTCGGTCCCTTACTCAGCAGCTCTCAGCTGTGCAGGACACGGAAGGGCAGCACATCCCAGGGGCCCCCCATCATCCTGGGGGGCGGGAAGAGCAGGACCAAGGAGCTGCTGGGGCTGAGGTGGGGTCTCCTCCCTGGAGGCTCAGGTCCAGGGAGGACCGGAAGGTGTGCCAGGTAACACGAGGGAGCCCAGTTCAGCAGGGCTGCGGGAGAGGAAGCCACGGGGTGGGGAGGCCACAGATGTTCATGTACCACATCTGCAGGGCTCTGTAGGCTGTGCCAGGGTTGGGGTTCTCCGAGGGAACTGGGGAGCCCCAGAAGCACCCAGGGCCGTGGGTTGGCAGGGTTCTAGCTACACTCGGGGCCGGCAGCACCCACTCGTGGCCCATTGCCACTCGGTATCCATTCACGCACTCCCCACAAGGGGGAGATAAGGTCGGCGGGAAGACAAGTGCTGTACCCTGAACTGGGAGCAGGGATAGGAGAAGAGGTGCACTTTGCCGAAGTCATCGCCCGTCGACAGGAGCTTTTTCTCACGGGCCCGACAGACAGCGTTGATGTCAGTTCCATCCGAGCCTTCCGGCCACACTCCTAAAACAGACCACAAACGGCACTGGAGATCTGGAGACACGGGCCATGCCGTGGGCACAGGAGCTGGCCACCGGGCTGCCCAGAAAACAAAACCGCCCCATGTCCGGGCTTTGGAGCGAGGGACAAACGAGTGCCCGGTCTCAGCCCTGGCCTGTGCTGTGCTTCCAGATTTGCTCATTTTGCCCGTCTTTAGGAGACCCTGCCGTAGACGTGCAGCCCCGCTTTACTCGGTGGGGCTAAAGGACGGGCTTTCCGGGCCGCCCGCCTCTTTTGGGGCCCTGGGTCTGTGTGCGCTTTCGGGTGTGTCTTGGCCGGGCTCAGGGGCGGCAGCTTTCCAGGCAGGTGTGCCTGAGCTGCCACCCGCTGGCTGGGCCCGGGGCAAGCTGGATGTGGGGGGCACCTTCTCGGGACTGTGGCTCTGGAAACGTGCTCCCAGGCCCTGTGCACAGGAGAGCTCCGCACACATCAACTGCCCATGGTGGCGCTGGAGAAAACCTCGGGGCTCTTGGCATTGACACCGGACAAGGGTCAAAGCCCTGCGCTAAGGAGGTCGGTGAGTTCTTACCAAGCTGCGACTGCGGTCCTTCATAAAAAGATTCCGGATCATGCCTTTCCTTTGAACTCTACTAAACTGCGGCAATTTATTTCACAAGTCCTCTAGGAATACCTTCCTCAACTACACCCTGAAGGAAGTGAAATACTCAGCCCGAGGACCAGACGGTAAGCACGGTGGCTCACTGCGCGCCTGGCACAGCCTGAGGAGACTGCACAGCTTCCTCTCAGAGCCCGTCCAGCACCCAGCACCGCGGGGCAGGTTAAATGACACCTTGCTGGCTCTGGCCAGCTGGCCGGGCCAGGACGCTGCGTGAAGAAGTCCCGTGGGTTCACGGAAGCAGGCACTGTGACAAGCCCGGAGGTGGTGAGGTTGTCTGACTATTAGGGAAACAGCCCCAGAGGAGAGGTCTCTTTTGTTCTCATTCCCGGAGCAACGCAGTCTGCAGGAAACCTACCGAAGACGTGGAACCCCAGGGTGCAGGTGTAGGTGGCCCATTCGATGTCTCTCGTGGCTTCCACGCTCACCACTTGCTTACACGCCGAGGGAACCCCTGGAAAGAGCAGGCGGCCTGGTGGCTCCCAAGCCCAGGCACCCAGCGCTCCCCGGGGCAGGCCTGAGCCCTCGGAGCCGTAGCAGAGGAGCCCCGTGGGAACTGTCGCGTGGCTGTCAACGGGCCTGGAACTGAGCCTGCATCCGGCCTTAGCGGTGGGCACGTCTTTGTTCTCTTCCTAGCTCCCCAGTCTGTAATCCTTAGCACGGCTTCTGCTGTCTGCGGCTGGCCCTGGCCCTCGGGCTTCCCGGCTTGATGTCCTCACGGGGCCCCGGAACCTCGCCCTGCCTGTGGTCCGGCCGTCTCCACCCAGCCCTCAGCCCCGACAGCCCACAGCAGTGTGTGGAAACCAATCCCATCCAGAGCCCAAAGCCCCCAGGAGTTCTCACAAATGGCGTAGGAGGCCGTGCCTGAGCAGGTTCTGCCCTAGCCACCATCCCCTAAAACTACCACCTGAACCTCCAGCAGGACGCAGACAGGAAGGAGAGGGACACCAGGTGGCCACCAGAAGGGGGTCCCTGCTTCCCTTCCCCTGCCCGACTGGGTCCTCGGCAAGTGGGCCACGCATCTGAGAAGTGTGACTTCCTCTCACACTGGCTCTCTGCCAAGGCCTGGCATCAGAGCCTGAGCTCCTTCTCTGTAAAGGGGAGAGGAACCAGGAAGTGTGGTGGATCGTGAGGAAGTGCAGGGAAATAACACCGGATTTTCTACAAACTTCCAGTGGGGTAGAGGCCAGGCCTTTCGCATGCTTGTGACCCCTTCTGCTTAGCCCAGAGCCAGGCACAGGGCAGTGCTCGGCAAGTGTTGAGGAACCAGTGCCTGGCGTGCCCTCTGTGCTCAGGAAGTGCCGCCATTATCACCCTCTCCGTCCCCAGATCTTTCTGGGGACAGATGGCCAGGGGAGGCTGGGAGAGGCGGCCGAGGAGGGGCTGCTGTCCACACAGGGGTGCTCTCTCTGCAATGGCCCCAGGCCCTACTCTTGTTCCACATCTGTCACCTCAGCCTCCCCTCTTCCTCCGTGCAGGTCCTGCATCCGCTCCTCCAAGGGCCTGAATGGTATCTCAGTGCCAGGAGGACCTGGGGGGCTGTGCAGCCAGCTCCTCTATCTTACTGAGGAGGAAAGCGAGGCCAGAGATGACGCCATGAGCCCGCGTGCTACAGAGGCCCACGGCTGGGACCCGGGATGCCTGGCTGTACTCACAGTAGAGGATCTCGTAGTCTCCGGAATTGGACACGAGAAACTGTGAGTCTACGGACCAGTCCAGGTGGCTGATGAAGCTGGAGTGGCCCTGCGGAGAGAGAGTCCCTGAGTCTCCGTGCTGACACACACAAGTGCACGCGTCCACACGCGTGTCGTGAGACTCACCGAGCACTTGCCCACGCGCGTGTACTTCCTCCCGTTGTCGCCAACCCCGTAGATGTAAATAGAGTTGTCGTGCGAGCCGATGGCTAAGAAATTCCCATCTGCGGAGAGAGGAGAAATTGCATCTTCAACGTCACTCATCACAACGGACACTGCTAGCTGCCCCCACAGATCGAAACAAAACCGCCAGACTGATGAGTTATTTCAAAGGGAAAAATCTGCTTTCCCCTGAGCCCTATACTAATTCGGAAAAACACACTCAGGAGGATTATAAAGTCTGGTAACAATTCATAGACTCTTTTTGTGAACTGTAAAAATACAATTCCGTACGCCCTGGCGCTGTGGGGCGGAGGCAGCCGGCTGTCCAGCCTCTTCCCAGGGGCCATCTCTGGGTGTCCTCTTTGCCCGGGTCTGGTCCCAGGAAGGCCAAGGAAGGAAGGCGCTCACTGTGACCAGGGAGGTGGGGCGCGAAGGAAGACGCAGGACCCCGGGAAGGGGGCTGGGGCCCTGGTCGGGAAAATGCCAGCCCCTCCCCTCCCGAGCAGGGGGAGGGAAGCACACAGGAAGCACCATGGGGTGGCCCTGAGCCACGCAGAAGCTGGGGTGGAAGGGGCAGCAGGGCTCCCCCGAGCTCAGTGTCTGGGGACACGACACTAGACATCAGTCCTGGCCCTGGTCCACGAAACACTGCACCTGGCACAGGAACGCACATGGAAGCACATGTACACTACCTCACAGTCGCCGGCACTACCCACGCACCTGTGATGTCCCCACCCCGGCCCGGCCCTGAGCCTCCCATGCAGAAGAAATCCCACGTGACACAGCGAGGCCCCGGGTCATCAGGAGATGGGGTTTCAGACAGTGCCCGACTCACGAGGCTTGGACCGAACGAGTCTTCTGTTACGACAGTGCTAAGCAATACAGGTCCAGGAGAAACCAGACTTGCGTTTGAATTCTGACCATTCCAGGGCTAAGGACAAGCGGTCTGTCTTCTCTCAGGTCCCAGCCCCTGCCTGTACCACGCAGGTAACGACTGGCCCCTCCAGCGTGCTGCACTGCTGAGTGAGAATGTTCCGCAGGCTGGGGGTATCAGGCACAGCTTCCACCTAATGATACTTTCAATAATGTGGGTTTATTGGGACGTGAGCCCGTCTCAGTCAAGATCGGTACACAAGACTGGATGTCTGCCTAATAAATATGAATCGACAAGGGCAGTCAATGCACTAACTTCTCCGGCTACGCAGGGCACTGTCTCTTCCCATCATGGGCCCCTGCGCTGCAGACCCTTGGAACCCCATTCCCCAGCATGTGGGGGCCGCAACAGCCCTATTATGACTCCCCGGAAATAAGCAGATGTCCAGCTGGGGAGCAGGCATCCGGGTGCTTGCAGAAGCTGGTACCCAGGAGGTGTTTTCCGCTGCCTCCGCCACCCCCAGGCTTGGGGCAGGGGACAGCCCTACAGGTCTTGTCACCACAGAGCGCTGCAGGAGGAACGGGTGCTGCAGCCTGGGGAGCGACATTGTGAGGTGAGCTTCACCAGGGCTTAGAGCAACAGACGAGCGGTGGGGGCATTCAGGCCTCGGGGCCACGTGGCAAGGCTGTGCCCCTCGCGCTGTCCAGCGGCACTGGGATTTAGAGATGAGGCTGCGGCATCTGTCCACGGTATGTAGGGGACACCACGCGGCAGGGGACAGAGCAGGACGGGTGGCAGGTACCGGATCCTAGCAGGTCTCAGACTCAGGCAGAAGAAGTGGATTTGACGCTGGAAATTACACAGGGATGAGCACCAGATTCTGATTCATTCCCATAAAAGCAGAAAATCCACATCTCAGCCTCATGGGCAGGGTGGCAGAACACGTGCACCGCTGCAGGACTGACGGCACTTGGCCCATCTTCTCCCCACGCCCAGGGTCGTACCCTTGCTTCAGTGATGGGCACCAGGAGGAGCAGGCTAAGCATGTGGGATGGCTGTAATGCACACCTAAGGGTGCACTTCCTGTTTCTGTTCTCTTTAGGAAACACTGAGATTTTAATCCAGTCAAAGCTCCATTTTGTCCAGTCTATACGGTTTCTGATACGGCTGTCAAGTATGAAAACTGTCACGACTACACTTGACACGACCAACTGTGGTAGTTGACTATGGTTTCAAAAATAATGGTAGCTTATTCGCGTAAGACTGTCTTACGTAAAATACTTCATAAGTGAAAAAGAGTTGATAAAACGTGACTGAAATGGGTATTAGATGGTGGCTTAGTCACTTGTTCATTGCTGGGACAGAATACTCAACACCTACAAGTCACAGAAGGAATTTATTTTGGCTCACATTTCAGTCCATAGTTGGTTGGCTCCAAGGCAGGATGCCCTGGCAGAGGGGCATGGCGGAAGACAGGGACTCACAGCATGGTGGACAGGAAGGAAAGAGAATCAAAGGAGGATCCAGGAAGGGAGAGAAACCCTTCCAGGCCACGCCCCCAGTGATGCCTGGTCCAGTCAGACCCTGCCTCCAGTACCAAGTCAGCTGCAAGCCTCATACGCTGATCACCTCCCAACACACAAGGCTTCAGGGCCATTTAGAGCTAAACCACGAAGCTGATCCAGAGGAATTCTCTGAGTGCCAAGGGCCATCCCTGCCCTGACTCTGCCCACCCCTGGGTCCCGTCGGCTGTCAGGCTCCTGTACCTCCAAACCATCCTCCTGAGCCACCTCTTACAGCCAAAGGTGAGTGGTGACGGAACAGCTGAGACTGGGGCTTCCCTGTGGCGCTCACAGAACAAGGAAGTCGGGAGGATCCAGGTCTCCAGCCTGCTGTTCAAGTTTTAACGTGGTTTAGCTTTATGAGGTAACTCCTGAGCCCCTGGGCCACCTGCCCACCTAACATCCACCTTGAAGAGGATTTCGGCAGCAGCCCCACTCTCCTGACCTCGTTCTAACTCCCCTTGCCCATGCCAGGGGTCAGGTCTGCTCACACCCCCGAGGGTAAGGACGACCGCTGGGCACGGTTAGGGATGTGCTCTACACTCACCAGCCCCACCCTGCATCCTGGGACAGCTCAAGAACCGCTAGCTCCTCTCCTAGCAGTTCACACAAATCCAGAACTTTCCTGAGCCTGAGTGAGGCAGAGGAAACACTCACAATTCAAAGCCAGCTCTTCTTCACACCCCTGGTGCAGGGAGCCCTGGAAGACGGAGCCTCTTTGATTCCACTCAGTGCCAGTCTGGGCCTAGGCATCTAATACTTTTTTCTATTTTCAGTGTGTCATATCTGTGAATACTTGAATCCAAAATGGAGCCAAAATCGACCAGGGAGAAATCCCGGGTGCAACCAGACAACCCACCTGCAGGGAAGCCAGCGGCACAGCTATGCGGACACTCACTCCTGCCACCAAGATTTGCTGAGCGCCTGCTGAGTGCCCAGTGCTGAGCGAGAGGGGTCCCCACCGCTCTGGGGCCCTGAGCCCCTGCTGGGGCTGGTCCTGGGGCTGCCCCACTGCCCTTGCCGATGCCATCTGGATAGCGCCCTGCTTCAGAGCACACAGTCGTCTCCTCTTTCAGCCAGTCTCCCACCAGCGTGGCACCGGGCCTGCATCCTGGGGCTGCCTGGCAGCGGCCCGGGGTTACTCTTCTGCCTGCTGCTGCCTGCTCTCTGGTTCCCAGGGTTGTTACTAGCGTCACTGAGAAGAAAGGGACACCCATTCCCTGAGACCTCGATGAGCAGGAGCTGAAGACCCCAGAGGCTGCTCCTGTTGCACATCGTGGAAGTTGAGAACTGAGGCCAGGGTGAGACGCACCGAAGCACTGGGAGTGTTGGGGAGAATCGGCGAAGGGCTAAGACACATCAGAAACCAAGACGGAAGGCATTCTGGGTCCAGCAAGCTCCTTCCACCAGGGCTGAGGGGTCCCTGGGGCTGAGACGTCTGTCTGGGTGAGGAGTTAAGAGGGAAACAACTGATCTCAAAAAAATTTCAAAAATTATAACCAAATATTGTGAGCAAGCTATGCCAACAAAATAGGCAACTTCCATGAAATCAATCTACATTATCAAATGGAGTCAAGAACAGATAGCAAATCTGAAAAGATTTATAATGAGTAAAGACACTGCATTAGCAATTGAAAGATTTCCTGAAAAGAAAATCCCAGATGACCCCACTGAATCCATGAGTTCTATCAAATGTGTAACAAAAACACTACCCCAAGCCCTCACCCAGTCTAGGACCAAGGAGGAAGGAACACGTCCCCCAGCAGACCTACGAGACCAGCAAGTGCTGGCAACTAAGACAAAGACACAGCAAGAAGACCACAGGCGAGCAGCCCTCACAGACACGATCACGAAAGCCCCGAGCAGAGTGGTAATGAATGGAAGCTAGCGATACGTAAAAGGCGTGATATATGCTAAGATCAAGTACGATTTATCGCAGGAGGGTGAAGTTGGTTGGGAAATTAATGTCATGCAGCATATTCTTTCCAAAAAAGGACAAAAACACACGATCATTATCGCAGATGCAGAGAAAGTATTTGGCAAACTCCAACACGTGTTCACGCTGACCACTCTAAACAAGTTACGAACAGAAGGGGGCTTTGTCATCACGGTAAAGCGCGTCCTTATCCTAGTGATGAAAGACCAAACGTTCTTTCTCCCGAGGCTGCGAGCGAGGTAAGGGACATATTCCTGCCATTTCTGTTTATTACTTTACCAGAGGTACCAGCTGATGCAATAAAGGAAAAAATAACTAAAGGCATCCAGATTAGAAACGAAGAACTGAAACAGTTTTTATTTTTGGATGACATGATCACACAGGAAGAAAATCCCAAGGATCACACACACGCAACCCTCTAAAACTAGTAAAAGTTTAGAAAGCTTAAAGGATATAAGATCCATAAGCAAAGTTCAATTTTACTGGTATATATTAGTAACCAGCTATGTGAAAATAAAATTCAGAAAACAATTCCACTCGCAACATCAAAGAATGACTTAGCAATGAATTTTTAAAAAGAAGTACAAGATTTGTATATGAAAAATTATAAAACAAGCAGGAGTGGTAGCACATGCAGGTAGTCCCAGCACTCTGGGAAGCTGAGGCAGAAGGATCGTAAGTTCAAGCTCAGTCTGGGATACTTAGTGAGAAGGAATCAGTCAGTCAATCAATTGGTGAGGAAGTAACTTAATGCAAAGGCCCTGGGTTCTATACCCAGTACTGCAAAAAACAAACAACAACTACAAAATGATCACGAGAGAAATTAAAGAAAATCTAAATAAACAGAGCACCACTACATGTTCATGGGTTAGAAGACACAACATCATTATTCAAGGTGATAATTCTCCCCATCGTGATTTGTAAATTCAATATAACCCCTATCAGAGCCTAGTAGGCTTTTTAAAGTTAGAAATTGACCAGCTGGTCCTAAAACTTACATAAAGTTTTATATATGTCAAGGACCTAAAGCAGCCAAAACAATTCTGGAAAATAAAACAACCAAGTTGGAAGAGTTATAGTTTAATTTCAAAACTCACTCCAGAATGTGCTGGCACAGGATAAACACAGGATGGGGACAGAACTGAGTATCTGAAAGTAAACCTTGGCCTTTACAGTTGATCCGTCTTGGGCAAGAATGTTGACAACTCAATAGGGAACGGGCGAGGTTTTCCAGACATGGTGTGTGGACACCTGGACATTGATCTGCAGCACAAGTACACTCTGACTCCTACCGCTCAGCACGTGTATGTGCCAACTCAAGAGGAATCCCAGACCTAACTGTGAGGGCTCAGTCAGCACTCCTAGACAAAAGCATGGGGAAAACGTCAGCATCTCTGGTCAGATCCACAAATAAAAAAATCGAGAAACTGGACTTCATCAAAATGAAAATAAAATTTTAATTCAATAATTAAAAATTTAAAAATTCGTGCTTCAGGAGACTCCATTAAGTAAATGAAGGCTGTGAACAGTGGCCTACCCCTCTCATTCCAGCACTCTGGGAGGCTGAGGCAGGAAGAGCACAGGTTTCAGCTCAGCCTGACCAACTTGGTGACTTACATGAGGTCTCAAAATAAAAATAAAAGAGGGCTCAGTGCAAACTCCACATGCCCCAGTTATGTGCATGTAGAACTGAAACTTCACTCTGAGGAAAGCTGGAGCTACTTCTCTACGACACCCGCACGGAATCACTAGCCCTGTGGGGATTTACGGCATCAACGTCTTCTAACCTGGAGAGTAGCGCATGACAGACAGCTGCTCGTTCCCATCCGTGTGCACCGTGACCAGGTCTTTAGTTTCCGTGTCAAACACAAACCACCTGTTGAAAACACGAGAGAGAGCGCAGTGAGCCGTCGAGTGGAAAGGAACTGAGCCTACTGCAGTCGTAAGCCAGTCATCCCAGGGGCCGATGCGCGGTCTGTGAGAGCTTAGCAAGAAAGCCTGTTCCCTGCTGGTACTAAGTGTCCTTGGTCCAAACGATTCCTACAGAGAAGAACAGCACCCTGCCTGTCATTCAGAAGTACTCGGTGGCTTCTCAGTGAGTGTGTTGTGTGATGTGCACGGGGAGGGAGAAAGTCTGGGGCACGTGGCTGCCAACTGATACCATGGCTGTGCTGTCTGGCCAGGCTGGCCAGGGGCACTTGCGCTCCGGGTTGCACAGAGTCTGCAGCTTCCAGGAAATCCGGTGAGCAACCAACGGGGTGGACAGAGGGCAGGGAGCGAGGCAGTAAGGTGACAGGGAGGCCGGTCTTTGACCATCGCTGCTGTAGCAACGGGGTGGAGGCCAGGTCTCCTGTGGAGGCTCATGTCAAGCCAGGGTGGACGTGGACGCACTTGTGTCCCTGATGAGGTGCCCCAGGAGCACCCGGCCCTGTGACTGTGACGCAGAGGCACTGAGAGAGGGGCAGGGTTAGGTTACTGGTGCTGCCTCGTGTGCCCTTAGGGTGAAATGTGGGGTCCTGAGCATTGTCACCCCATGCACACAGGCAGCGGGCGTCTGTGGGCCTGGCTGTCACCCAGCCCCCAGAGGTGCAGAACTCAGTCTGAGTGTGTTCAGTGTCTGAGTGACAGAACTCTCAGGTGGGGGCAGTAAGTGGACCCCAGTGTCTTTAGGGACGGAAGGCACACAGGCCCCTGTTGCTGTGATTTCAGACCTGGACGGCACAAGGGCCACCCCCATGACCACTGCAGCGGTGTCCTATCGCCTCGCCTACACTTCCGGCTCCAACTTCCTGGCTTGTGGAGTTGCTTCTCAGCTCTGATTTCCTGCATCTGGACAACTGTTCATCCTTCATGTGTTATCTGGGCATAATTGAGGCCCAGGTATAATAAACTGACTGGGGCTGACTAGAATCTTCCTTTGCCAAGTCCTGTGAAGGGGACAGCAGGGGAAGCACCTGGCCCTGCGACCATGATGCAGAGGCCCTGACAGAAGGTTACCAGTGCTGCCTCCTGCACCCTTAGGACGTGACCTGGGGTCCTGAGTGGTTACTCTGTCTAAACTCTACAGTCACAGCCAGAGAATCCAAGTGGAGCACTTTTCAGAAAGAAAGAATGTGAGGAAATAGCTGAAACTACCGGAATGCAACTCCAGTAAATGCGCACACGTAGTTCCTTCATCCATGGTTTGCGCTCCCATGGTCAACCTTGGTCTACAAATATTACGTGGAAAATCCCCCAGATAAGCAGCACACACATTTTAAATCATGTGCCGTTCTGAGCGCACCCTTGGCCTCTCTGGTCTTACCAGGCAGGCACGGTGTCATCTCACCCTGTCACAGGACAGGGAAGGGAGCCTAGGCCAGGCAAGTGTTCTCAAAGAGAGACACAGGCACACAACCTGTTACAGTTTATTGTGAGAACTGTTCTGTCTTGCTATTGGCTAGGGCTGACAATCTTACTGTGCCTGATTTATAAGCGAGGCTTTATCCCAGGTCTGTACGTATAGGAGAAAATGCTATATGTGGGGTCCATGCCAACCACGGGGCAGCTAATAATGAACCCCTGAGGGCAAGAGGGACTGCTGTTCTGTGACAAGCAGCAGGAGGGTACAATCAAGCCTTGCCAAGCAAGGCCAGTTCTAACCACCACCACTGCCTGCCAGGCAGCCCCGGCAGATGCCTTCTTCACTCACCTGTGCCACAGATAACATCACCATAATTCATGGAAAAAGAGACAAATTCAGAGTGTATGTGAGTGGCTCAAAGACCCCACTGCCCAGTGGCAAAGCTGGGGTTCAAACACAGGTGTAGGGCCTGGCGTGTTGGAGGTGGTCAGCACATACGCACTCTGAATCTGAACACGAGGCTGGCCTTTGGAAAGGGCAGCTGCATAGGCAGCTTCGGTCTCGGTGCTCCGGAACGGGGCCCCCGAAGCTGGGGGCAGATGGCCAGTGGGAGATTTGGGAGGGGACGCTTTCACAGGAGAAGGGAACTTTCCAAACATTTTCCCCAGGTCCAAACCAGGAAGGACCTCTGTCTAAGGTTCGCGGCTGAGTTCTGACCTAATTCTTGGCATGCTGTTGGGGGAGGGAAGATGGGCCCCAGCCGACCCGCACCTGTCCCCGGGGAAACGCCCAGCGGGCTCCCGTCCAGAGCTCTGAGAGCTCGGGCCTCGCTGGGCTGCTTACCTCCCAGTGAGTGTTCCTACTGCAACCACAGACCCTGAAGGATGAAAACCAGAAGACTGAGCTGGGTCCTAAAACATTGTAAAGGAAGTGTAAATGGATGGCCACGTACAACACCAGCACACACAACCCACCCGCATCACCTGCGCCCTGGGCTCTGCGGCTCAGCTGGAGGCCTCTCTTCTCTCCAGAGAGGAGGCTAGTTTCCTGCCTGGACACAGGTCACGTTCCAAGGACACTACATCGTTATCCTTTTGGGGTTTTTCCTCTTCCTGTCTTACGTCCCTTCGTATCTACAGCCATCAGGCAAAAGACACACAGGCCCAGGCTCTTGGTTCAAGTTGTGGTCAGTATGCCTGGCTCCTGGCGGGCCTTGTGCTCAGGGCAGAGCCCGTGGAAAAGCCCATTGTAAGGGGATGGGACAGAGGGGCACGAGGATGCTACCGGAGAAGCTGAACACAGAGGTGCTTAAGGACACCAACTCACTGCCTTATCCTAAGGAGGAGCTGCCACGCCCAGGCCTGGGTTGGTTACCATTCACCAAGCGCGTCTGTGTGCCTGGCTCATCTGACCTCTCAGAGTTTGGGGCTGAAATAACCCCGCCCAAAGCCGTGGGCCCAGCGCACCACAGGGCTAGGGTGGATGCCCCAGCCCAGCGCCTAGAAAATGCCAGTGACTTGCGGGATGAAAGGCTGATGCTTGGCTCTCAGAGGGCCCCTACATGTCAGCCAGGGGACCAGCGGCCTGCGGTGTACCCTTGATCCACCGTGAGCCACGGAGCCTGGGTTTGGGAGTCAGAATGCGCTGGGTGTCCCCTCCGTCTCTGCCACCCACTAGCTGGGTGACTGTGGCTCGTTATTTAACCTACCTAAGTCTCAACGTCCTCATCAGTAAAATCAGAGCAAAAGAAAAACACAAGCCCTCAGCCTGCAGGACAAGGACAACACCTGTTCTTGCTTGGCCTACAAGTTGTCAGTGCTCGCTGCTTATAAATTCTCATCCAAAAGGTGGCTGTAAATAGCACGCAGGCTCTTAATTCTAACAGGCGTTTTCAAGACTCAAGCCTGCACTCGGGAACCACTACACTTGGGAACCCCGACAGCCAGCTCGTGGTTGGGAACTTCTACAGTAAACCTCAGGGTCCCCCGGCTGAGGCCACTCACAGTAATGACAAAAGCTACACGAATCTAAGAGGCAATCAGATGCTGTTGGCTCGGAGGCAACTTCATGTCGCTATTAATGTCACAGAAAATAAACGTAGGTGTTCTGGGTGAATTTTACAAGAGAACTGGAAATGTCTCGTGCACGCTTACCTCTATGATCTTGTCCCAAACAGGCCGGTGACCGACGGCGTCCCAGAGGGTGGCGTGCTTGTCGTGCCCACAGGTCAAGAACTGAGGCTTGGAGGCGTGGACGGCCAGCCCCCAGAGCTCATCCGTGTGGCCCTACAAAGAACCACAACATGGGGGCTCCCTGACACCCCACAGTCGACACTGGGGGCCATGCTCTGCCCCTTGCCCCAGGTCCTCCCCAGCCTAACCCACTGCAGCCACTGTAGCCCTGGAGTCAGGGAAGGTCCCCCAGTGTGGACCACGGTGTGACCCCCACTTCTGGCACAGGCGACATCCTCCCTGAAGCGAGCAGAAGTGTGTGGCGGCCCTGCTGAGCCGCAGCTACCTGAGTGATGGGTGCGAAGTCCCCCGACAGGGTGCCCTGCAAGACGAAGTTTCTCGTTGTGCCTATTAAGATGACATCGCCCTTGCCTTCAGCCACTGTCCGTACGGGACCGAACTGCTCGGGAATCTGCATTGGAAGGAGTGACAGAAAAGAAGGATGTAAGAGTCCATTAAATTGTTAGCTCAAGTATTCAATTTAGTTGTTTACATGTCATATGACAGCTCCTGGAACAGATACATACACATACAGAGCTGGGTTTGGTGACACCAAGCTTTCATTTTGGTGCTTGTCTTTTATTTTGAGATAGGGTCTTATTCAGTTGTCCAAGTAACTTGCTTCTGGGGAGGCTGAGGCAGGAAGGTGGTAAGTTTGAGTCAGCCTGGGCAACTTAAAAGAAACCCTGTCTAAAAATAAAACAGGCTAGGGATGTGGTTCAGTGGTAAAGTGCTTGCTTAGCATGTGAAGCTCTAGGTTCAATTCTCGATAAAACCCACACACAGACATGCATGTACGCACACACGCGTGCACGCGCGCGCGCGCGCACACACACACACACACACACACACACACAGAAATACAACTAGAGAGATGCCAGAGCCAGCTGTTAGTGAATGACCTAAATCCCAAAACTTCTTTTTCTTCTTCGGTGTTGGAGACAACTCAGGGTCCTGCATATACTAGGCAAAGGCTCTGCTTTACCTTTTAAACCACCAACATTTCATGTACCTTAAAAGGATCAGCACCAGTGCTGTTGTTTTTATAAAGAGCCCTTTTTTTTCCTGACAAAACTTTGAGGAATACAGCTGGCTCATGCCAAAGGCAGAGCTGTTCACAAGGTAATGGGGGTAGAGGAGCTCGAGCTCTAGAGAGACGCTGGCCCTCAGCTGAGGGCTGTGCAAAAAGTACAAACTCAATAAAAATTAACTCAAAGTGAGAACATCTGCATAGTAACACACTGGAAGCTAGTGAGAAGAGAGGGAATCTAAATGAGAAATTAAAACGGGGTAACAGTCCTTTGGAAACGATTAAAATTTCCCTGGGAAACCAATTCAGACTGGTTCTACTATAAGACATTTTAAGTAATAAGTGTTTTATGTCCTTGAACTTTATAGACAACTTCCTTTTAGTTGAAAACTGCCTCTACGATTTTAATAAAATATGCTGCCCCGTATAATTTCATCTTATCAGTTTTCAAAGCCCCGAGCCAAAGACTCCAGACGAGCATGGGAACTGGGCAGGATCGAAGCTTAACGCTCAGAACAGATTTCCGTAATGCTGCTTGCTAACTTACCTCCGTTTTATGAAGTTTCTGATAGTTTCCATTCCAGGAGATGAGCTTCCGGTCCTTCCCTCCTCCCGACACCAGCGTGCCGTCTCTTAACATACAAAGTGCAAAAATGCCGCCCTCGTGGGCCCCTTGAACCGCATAGCTTATTCGGTTCGTACCTAAACACACGGGGAAAACCGCTGTCAGCAGTACATGATCTATCCCATAGGACTGGCCCAAGGATTAAGTGGCCCGAGAGCGGCTGGGACACTATAAAAACCACCTGAGTATTGTGATATCACTTCTGCCAGCCTGCTCCACCTGCACCCCACCCGTCTGAGGCACTGGAGGACAGGGAATGGGCTGTCCCAGCACCTGGCCTGCAGTACTCGACAGCCTGCCCTAAGCAGGTTTCCTCGTGATGGATCCCCCAAACTGCTCGCCAGCAGACGGCCTTGGATCTGACTCGTTTGTATGAATCCAGCACACGTAATTAACTCAATAAACATCTGCCAAGTGCTCTGTGCATAGGAAGTTACTTAAATATTTTATGGCCATATAAATAGTCATTAATTACTCATCATCATTTGCTAGTAGAGCTCATAATAAAGCTATTAATTCCACCATAATATCTTGGCTGGCTTTAAAGAGCCTTTTAGAATGATATACGAGGTATGATAAAAATGGTGATGTTTAAATTTTAAAAATTTATTACAGTAAAAGACACATGGTCATTAATCCCCCTCAAAATCCTCCTCATCTCTCTGATCTCACTTATCCCACTGTTCTTGCCATCTCCTGCAGCAGGTCTGGAGGTCCTCTTTCATGAGTGTCTTCCGTTGCACTGTCATAGCTACCTTGATGTCCTCAGCCAATTAAAAACATTGGCCTTTCATGGTCATTTTGACTTTGGGGGAGACCCTGAAGTTGCATAGTGCCAGATCCAGTGAATGAAGCAGATGAGGACACGGTGCTGTGTTTTTACAATCCTCACTTTCCGGGGATGGCGCCTGGCAGCAGCTTTACGGTACTGCTGGTCACACTCAAAAATACACTCATGAAAGAGGACTTTCAGTACTCAGCGTCAGTCATTTACTATTCATCAGTTTTCTTCCATTCTAGTTTTATGGTTTCAAGTTACACACACACCTTGGGACCCAACAGCAATCTTGTAAATTATATTAAGAGATAATTCCCGTAGAAGGTACCTTTGGTATAACATTACCACAAATACTGGCTTAGGGAACCACCACCTGTTACCTTTTCCCCATACTAAGATGTTGCCGCTTGAATCTCCAGTAATGGTGTCACCGTTTTCAGAAAAAGTCACACAGAGGACAAACTTTGGCTTCTCTTGTTTCTGCAGAATGTAGTAAATACAGACACATTTAATCAAGATGTCCTTCTATTTGTACTAAGAACGGGCATGATCGCAATCAAAGCTGGAATCGTATCGGCTTCTGCCTGTTGAGTTTATCTGCTGTTACGTAACTTACACCAGGAGATTAACCGGGCTAAGAGAAAGAAGTTTCTGGTAACTCCAAGTGGCTGAGGAGTCCCAAAGCTGCAGACGGTTCCCACAGAGAGGGGTGCGGAAGGGAACTGGGTGGGGGATGCTGTACTGTTGAGACTGCAGAATGGAGAACAAAGCCCCACACCAGAATAAAGGGGCTTCTGAATGAGCCCATGGGAAAGGCTGTCTACCTCCAAATAGCCAGCCAGAAGGGACAAAGTGTCCCTGCCACCCTTTGCAGACAGGTTGCATGTTCCCTGAGCACCCTCATTGTCCATACGATCCATGCAGCGAGCTGTCGGGTGGGCAAGCTCTGCCCTCCCTGAGGATTCACGGGGTGGTTTGTGCCTTTGCCTCCCCCCAGATGCACCCACACATTTGGTCTGCCAGACCTTAATGTCTAGCAGACCACTGGGTCTCTCAGGGGAAGAGCAAAGAAAAATGGACTTTAACTTTACCTCAAACAATCCTTGCTTCTTAATGAGGGAGTTTCCTTCTAGTGTCCAGAAGTAGAGATGGGATTTTCCGCACGTAACTATGATACTGGTGTCCGTGGGGTGGAAATCCGCAGCAAATACCGCTTCGTTAGAACACTAAGACAAACAGGAGAACCGAATGCCTCACCTCTCTTAGGACACTTAGGAAGACAGATAAAATCAGACCACAAATCAAAATTTCACTCAAGCCAGGCACCTGGCCACTTCATTTTTCCCCCTCTGAATGAATCTCGTGTGAAGTTCTGCCGGTCGCAGAGCTCAATTTCTCCTCTCTCTGTCTACACTATGGGCCATGAGTCCCTTGGACAGGGAGCCCAGAATGTGCCGGCTGGGTGCTCTGTTGGAGAGGCCACCAAGGGCCAATGGGGACTTGGGAACCCTGGGGTTCTCGCTCATTCTCCAGTGCTGGGCTCCCTGCACAACAGAGTCACCTGGCAGATGCTCTAGTACAGCTCCCGGGGTCTCCTCCCCACCGAGTGACTGGACCCTCCGGGGGAGGGGCCGGGCATCCACATTTCCCACAGCGCCACTCTTCCCAGCAGAGTGTGGCTGCCGCTTCCCCGAGTCCTTCCCGGTTCTACTTCCTGGAACTCTGCCTGTGGCTCTTCTGAGATCTTGTGTGCCATGTCTGGCTCTTTGCAAGCCACTTTGTCACCTCTCACTCCATATCCTGACCTCCAGGACCTGCACTCTGGTCTACTGAATCCCTGAGCGTCCTAGTAGAATTCACTTCTGTAAAGACAGAACCTGGGAGATAGCTTGTCTTTGGTTGCTTCCCACCTTGCAATATAGTGAGAACACCTGACAGTCCTGCCCGGGACAGGAGGCAGGGCTGCTGCAAGACAGGAAATACAGCTTCCTCCCCCATGAGAGAGAAAGCTGCTCACTGAGGTATCTGGTGGTGGGTGGACGAATAATGTTACCTGACGGTAACTGTCATGCCAGACACCTAAGGTTATCTGATGGCATTTCTAACGTTAGGTAAGTAGAGTTCTCTAAGGTTAACAGATGCCAAGAGGAGGGATCTGAAGCTGATTCTACAGAAATAGGACTCCAGTGACAACGTCAATGGGAGAAAAACATAAGAAAGCTTAAGGAACAGGCTCTGCGTATGACAGGTCTGCAAAAGGGAGCCAAGGCAGTGAGAGGCTGAAGGAGGTGGTGGCGGGGACCTAGCGCTCGGCTCCTCCTTGTCCTCGAGTCCGTTGCGCTTTGGAGACCCCTGCAGGTGGCAGCGGCCCCTTGTACCTTGGGGCACAGGTGCCCACCTCCAGGGCGCCGCCCACTGCACTGTGCCAGGGCATGGCGGGTACCAGGGCTTTGAATGATGAGGGAAAAGGTGAGCAAATCAGTAACTGGGTGCATGAAAAGGACAGTGGGAGAGGAGGACAAGCGTCACACGGTGCAGACAGGACTCAGGAACCGCACCAGCAGGGGGCAGGGCGGGCCGAGGGACCCTAGGGTGCAGGGGTCAACCTGGGACCCGCGGCCCTGAAGCCTGCCGAGAGGGGGCCCCGTGAGAGAGGCGACAACACAGTACAGGCCAGGCTTGGGCGAGACCTTCACATCGGCCAGTCTCTCCTCCTTCTGCCAGTCCCACACAGACAGCACGTGGTCATTGGAGTCGTCCACAGCACACAGGTAGCTGCCTCCGTTCTGAAAGAGAAAGGCACCCACAGGGAGACTACATCTGAGAACAAAATGGCTGGGCGTGATTCAAAGGCACATGCCCCTCATTTTCAGCAGAGCCTGCCACGTGAAGACCGTTCGCCCACTGCCGAGCCTGCGCGCTGGGCTAGGCAGGGGCAGGGTCAGCAGGTGAGTGTGGGGTCACTAGGGAACCAGAATGGGACAGCAAGGTTCTTTGCTGCCAGGTTCCAGGAAAACCAGGAGCTCAGTGCTCCTGCTCCCCGAGGACCATGTCCTGGGCAGGCCCGACCCAGGCTTCGCGGCCAGCTGTGGACACTGCTACTGCAGGATCGTCCTGCAGGACCACAGGGAGTGGAGTGCGGGGGCCGGAGGGAACGCAGGCACTGGGTGTGCGTGTGTGCACGGGTGTGTGCATGTAGTTTCTGAACTGGATGAAGACATGGCTTAATAGAGTGCAAGCGTGGGTCTGTTGAAAGCCCTGATGCCTCTCCACCCACCCGTGTGCTGACAGCAGGAAGCCAGCCCTGGTGGGACGCAGAGACCTGTGGAGTGAGTGGCATTCAAGGTCAGAGCAGGCGCATGCTTTAAGCAACAAGAGGACAACAACTTGGGGAGGTGGGGCGGCCCCCTTCTTCACCACACCCGCGAGGCTGGAGATGTTTCCGGAAATGCTTGTCCCTGATGGACGGAACCAGCAAGCAGGGAGGTTCTACATCCACCCGGGTGGTAAACTCTTCCCCCACTGCGGCCCTAGGCTGTGACACCCACAGGGTGCATACTTACGGATTTTGAAAATGCAATGCAGGTGACAGCCCGGTCGAAAAAGCCTTTCCCAATGACATGCAGCGTGTTCAACGTCACGGAATCCCAGATGCGCACATGGGGGAGTAATTGCTGTTTTGGGAAAAACGCAGTCACCAATTGTGACAGTTTACGAATTCCTCTCCGTGTTGACGCTACAAGATTACTTGGGCAGTAACTTGAATTGTGTCAAAGCAAAGGTCTTTTCGCACACTGGAGGAGCCTGTCTCTCCATGTAAATGAGATGTTCCCAGTGGGAGGCCCGAGCCATGGGGCCACCCGCTAGGAGACGCCCACAGAGTCTTAAACTTGGACCAGCTTGCTCTGGACATCCAGATGTGTTCCTGACTTCCAGATGTTACAGCTGAACACCGACAAGAAAAATGGCATCTCCTATTCTTTTAGAGTCTGTCTAGGTGCCAAGGTGTCTGCATGTCGAAGTTCATCCAAATAGACACCACCAAATCATATTAAAAGCCTGACATTCCTTGGTCCACAGGAGCAAAAAGAGGCCATTTAATTATGCACAAACACAAATTAGGATTGTTACAATTTGTTCAAAATCTTTTTCAACTGTGTCATGGGTTTGTTTTACTAATTTTTCTCTTCCTTGCAGAAAAAAGCATCTCATTACCAAGCAAAGAGACAGCAGGGCATTGGGTGAACTGCGCTCCACTTCAGCCAAGTGTCTAAGTAGCTGGGTGTCTGGCCATGGGGAATGAACCCAAGACCTAGCACCGAGATGCATCTCCGGCTCTGAGCGTTCCACTAGGTTTCCCAGGCTGGGCTTGAACTTGTGATCCTCTTGCCTCAGCCTCCCCAGAGTGCTGGGCTAAAGGAGTCTGAAATACACTTTTAGGTCACAAGAGGCAGAATAAATGGTTCAGTACTGATTTCAAAGACGTGTTCATGGCCATGTAACATAAAAAAAAGGTGAACACTCGTTCCACTTATGTGAATTTACGTAACAGTTGTCCAATGTCCATTATTTTTATTGCTTCTTGTCAAGGGTAGAATTTTAATGAAAAACAGGATAAGGTTAATATTTAAAATTTGATCTTACTAAAATACTTCCTCAAATACAGTGGCATTCATGTTTTCTGAGGGAAAACACTGATAAAAATGAAAGCGCTCAATGTGATTAGTACAATCTTAAGCTACACAAAAATAGGTATCAAAAAGCTACGCAGAGTTTTGTGTAAGATGTGACAACACGAGCTGGAGGTGTATAAGGAGTTGGAAGCCAATTCTGAATTGTTCTGTATTGTGTTAAATTCACTAACTCCCTTTCTTGTTCTTTAAGATACAAGTTAAAGTCTCACGGAAGTGCCTACGAAATCTGTGTGGACCCCCGGCCACTTACGTGACCTCCACTCAGGGACAGGCCCCACGGCTGACGTCTGGACCACAAGACGTGGGCGGTGAAGGGTGTCCCCACCCAAGTGACTATGTATTGGGATTTTACATTTACTTCTTAAGTGTGTATGGTCATGTTTTAACGCTTAGCAGGAACAACGCTATTTTTAAATTTCCTGAAATTAAGATGCCCTCAAGGTTTGTTTGTTTGGGTTTTTTTTTTTGGTACCGGAAATCAAACTCAGGACGTTGCATTCGCCAGCCAGGTGCTGTGCCGCTGAGCTATCGCCCTGGCCCTCTCCAGGGTTTTTTACTTGAAGGCCACTGGGATGTGAGGCATGTAATCTGTAATAAAAAAGCCCAGTGAGGGGTTCAGAGGCAGTTGGCTGCTGTAACACACCTGAGCAGGCTGGCTGGTGAGCAGTATTATTTTCAGGAGACAGTTTTGCATTGAGTTGTGTTACACAGATATGAAGAACACGGCCACCCACCTTTCCGTCCTTAGACGTGCCCGCGACCTGGCCGGTGGCTATGGTGATCCGGTCTGGGTGCACTGCTAGGCTGAGAAAGGACAGACGTAAGATGCTGGCCAGTACTCTGCGGTTAGCTACACTGTCCTTCACCAAGCAGAACTGAGTCAAGAACGTAAAAGCGAGGAACTGCCTTGCCTAACTCCACGCGGACACACGACGAAGTCCTAACGAGGTAACTCGAGCCTCTTTCACTGCCTCTCAATCCTCTAATTTCTCACTGAGAATTTCCAAACTTAGCAAAAATCCTCCCGTGCCAGAAAAACACAGCTTCCACCTCAGAACGGCTTGATCAGTCCATGCGCCCTTTATGAAGAAGTCACCCTGAGGGTGTTGAATAGAAAAGGCAGCTCGTCTTTTGCCAACAGGCATCTGATCACTGACCAGCGACCCCGGGCAAATACAAACCTCCAAATCCAGGAGTGCATGCGCCCGCCCTTCCTTGGCGCCACACCAGCTCTGAATGAGCTGGGCCACCAGCAGCCGCACCCCCGAACAGAGCGGTTTCACTTCTCAGCAAAACCCCAGCCCGGTTAGAAGCCCTGAGCTCAGGGTGTGTCGAGGAGGTAGGTGTCCACACAGACGGAGGAGAGCCGAACACAAGTGGCCCGCGGAGCGGCGGGCGGCACGATGACACAGAGAGCACTGCCCAGGGACGGTGGCTTCTGCCGGGAGCGGCGGCACCGGGGGCGGGCACTCACCACTTCACGTCGTCGTTGTGGCCCGCGTAGTGCCGCTGCAGCTGCTCCTCCACGTTGAAGAGCACCACCACGGACGCAATGAAGTACACGGTCTCGCCCGTGGGCAGCAGGTACAGGTTGTTCCGGCAGTCGCGGCCCCGGTATCCATAGCTGCGCACCCGTCAAGGTGAAAACCCACTTCCGCGCCAGCCCACAGAGCCGCGGCTTTGTTCGGTGGGCACGGGCAAGAAAACCCCACGCGGCCGGCCGTTACCCTCATTTTCAGCCTGAAACAGTGTTAGGTTCCAAACACCCCGGCCCCAAACCTCTCACCCGGAAGGCAGGGGATAAAGTCGGAAACCGTCGGTTAGGTGATGGGAATATGTGATCCATGTTTTTAACTACACATAGATTTGGAGAATTCTTTAAAAAAATCACCGAGGCTACGATGAGTCTTTTATTGTGATTGAAAGGTGAAATCTTTTACTTAAAAGAGAAAAAACTTTAAAGTGGTGATAAAAGTCCTCATAAAGGGTACAAATGACACATCAGTATGTACCAGAGGGAATAAATGTAGGTCCTCCTTGCCCTGCTTGCTAGGGATAATTAGTCCTGTTACGATGCCGGGATGTATACTTCCAGGCCTTGAGAACTCTTTGGAGAGAAAAAAAATCACTTGAACTTGTGTGTAAAATATAATCCAGCACCCCCCTCCGCAAATTATTTGGAGCTCATTTTACTGTGTTACATTTCCTGAGATGTGAATAGCAAGCTGGCTGAACAAACGTGTTTTTGAATAAATATATTTTCAATGTGTTTTCCAGATTTCCCTTAACTATTTCATCAGCCATAATCAGCAACAGAGAGCTGACTCCTGCGATGACACATGACCAGGAACAGGTCAAGCAATGCCTGTGACCTCTGACCCTGAAAGAAAAAAGTGTGTATATTGAGAGAGAAAGGGTGGCAGCAATTATTTAAAATATCTAAGGACTATGACTGTATAATCGCAGATGCGGAAGCTACTGTCCAAAGTAGCACCTGGTAACTCGGTTCACAGCCAGGCAAAAAAAAAAGATCCTTAACCAATGTCTGAGGGGAAAGAAGGGTTCTTTCTGTTTGCTCTGAAATCCGCACAGACAGGATCGGGGGCACTGCAGGCTTCCTCTAAAGTAGTAACTGAATAACTAAGTTACCGGGAGAAAAAAAAAAAATTAATTTAACTTAATTCACCTTAATTTAACTTAATTCACCTTTCCCCAGATTCTGTCTTCTTGATTTTCAGCTGTTTTTCCGGAAGCTCAAACTTTCCCAAACCTCTTCCTAGTGCAGCCTCCATCGGTCCTGCTATGAGAACTTTAGCTGTAGGGTAGATTTCAGATTTTGGTGCCCTAGATTTCTGGAGGAAATTTTCCCTTTCTAAAAAACGCAGGGTGATCTCCACGCCCACTGTATACATGCCTGCAGTGCCACTCCTTCACGTAGCGCTTGAGTATTCAGAGTTTTCTATTACAGCTTCAGTTATTCGGTGCTGACCTTGAACTTGGGCTCCTGAGGCCCGCCAAGTTCCTCAGGTAAAAGGGAGAACACGAGCCCCTCCTTTCAGGGTGTCCCCCTTTCTTTGGGGGTAAAAACTTGTAGTCAGCACAGTTTAGTTTCAACCTTTGCTGCTATTCTGAGACAGTCTCATTATGTAGTTCAGGCTAGCCCTGAGCTCACTACTATGTAGCCCAGCGGTCCTCCTGCCTCAGCCTCCCAAGTACTGGGAGTACAGGTGTGCACCACCACACCTGGCTTAGTTTCAATTTTTGGTATTCCCATTTTCTCATTTGTAGGTTCAGTATTTTGTTTCATGTTCACTGCTGTTTCCTTGTAAATATGTACGCACTTTGGGCTTTTTCATCTGCTCTGGAACAGCTGGCCAAATGACAGGACCTGCTGGGGACAGCCAGCTCTTTCCTCCTCGCTCTGGTCCTAGACTGTAACCCATTTGTTACTGTTCTCACGAGGCCTGCTTCTCTGTGAGTTTTTAATCATTCCATTCTTCTGCAAAGATTGAGATTCAGACCATAAGTGGTGATGCATTTGTCCCGCCCCTCCTCATCCCAAATGCATCCATGCCCTCGGATCACTTTGCACTCTTTTGTATATTTTCAGGGCGATGATTTTGTATGCATTTGCGCAAGGACCACAAACACTTCACTCGGGACCAATGAGCCAGCTGCTGTCGTAACTAGCTGCTCCTGCTTGGCTAGGACGCCATGCTGGATTCTCACATACGACCACTTTTGTAGAAATACATTGTGTAAGATGTAAGAGTAAAATTTTTTGATTTTTAAAAGCTTCAGAAGACTTAAACAAGAAATTCTTTGAAAAAAAAGTCAGGCATGGTGGTGCACACCTATAATCCCAGAATTCAGGAGGCTGAGGCAGGAGAACTGCTATGAGTTCAAGGCCACCTGGACCACATAGGAAGACCCTGTCTCAAACAACAACAACATTTAAAAAAAAAAGAGAAAGAAAAAAAGAAATGCTTTAAAACCTTCGGGGACTTTGACTTTATGAAATTCTACAACTTCAAGCATTCATGAGCTGCTCCCTCGGTGTGAGCCCCCGCCACGAATAAAGGATACACCCATTCCAGCTTAAGCCTCTTGGTGGGCAGTTCTACTTTTGCCTCCAAACTGTAAGAATCCACTTGCTCTTTGGGCATGTACATGGTGACAGGGCGTCCACGGAGAAACATTTTGACATATCCTTCTTCTACAGAAAGAACAAAGATGTCAGCAGGACAGCCCCGTGCCTGGGACACCAGATGACAAATGTTACTCCTCTCTAGCCGGGCAATGCAAAAGTGAAAGTTTCACCCTACATCATTTGTACCGAGTGTCGCAGGGGAAAAACAAGTCACTGGCCATAAGATGAAATGCCTTGAACCAAGAGCTGGGGTCCTGTTTGCTGTGGGCATTCGACTTACACACATGAAGTACGTGAGAAACTGTAAGAGGAGGGCGGGGCTAGACGCTGGCAATTCTGTCCTGTGAGATCTTAGCGCTCACACTTCGTCACAGGAGGGGAAAATGAACCACCCCCAAAATCACAATTAACGCCAAAAATCCACTTCAAATTTTTTTTCTTTGACTCGAATGTATCCATAATCTCCAAATTCATGAAGTAGCTTTCAATATTTAAATTGGTTTGTTTTACAGAAGTGTAAGATCTTTGTGTATCTTTCACACCGGGCAGATTCTTTCAAAAGGGGAAAAAGCAAGACCAGTGAAGAGTGCACAAAAGGGATCAAAAGGAAAACGCTCAGAAACAGCTAGAAATGGAACAGTAAAGGACAGAAGCCTGGAGAAAATGGATCAAGAAGCAGAGCTTTCTGGAGTGAATATTTCTATTAAAATAACTTTTGATTTTTACTAAGTTACAGGGGCAAAGTAAAAAACACTAATATATGGAGCTGGGGCAGCCTCTGGCTCTTAGAAAAAAAGACTTGGGGTGCTCTGAGCAGGGTTCTCAGGATGTCATGAGAGTTCTGAGGGAATTCTGCTCAGATTCCGCACCGTTGCCTCCCTGCAGGCTGAAGGACTCAGTCTTTGCGGCATTTAAACTGGGCGGGTGGGACCAGAGATGGCTGCGTAACTCAGCAGGGGAATCACTTGCAGAGAGGAAATTGGTGGGAAAAAAAATCACAAAACAATGACAGCACCATAAGCAGAGCTGCGAGTCAGTCTTGTAAGTCTGAGGCCTAAGGCTTTGCAAACAATGCCACATGCAGTATTACTTAAAAAAGAAACAGGACGCTGTTTGCTTTGATGTTACTGCGTGCAGGCGCTCCAGGCCTGCTGTGCGGGAGCCCCTCACTGCACGTTAGGCTCGGCAGCTCAGGAAGGGCCAGGGCCATGCTCATCTCCACACACGCTGTGCCAGCTGTTGCCCATCTGAGTTAATCAATGCGTGGCCACCTCTCCCGTGGCAGCCACCAAGGCCACCCCTGCCACAGGTTCTCGTGGCCCCCTCCAGGGCATTTTGCCCTCCGTTGCCAAGCTGGGAGCCCCAAACTGGATTTCATCTCACGCTTGGTCCATGACAACCCTGCCTGCTCTCAGCTGCTGGGCTGAGGGCTCTGACTGCCCCGGGGCACGCATCTTCCTCCACCCCACCGCCAGCGCCACCCTTGAGGGTCCTCCTTTCCCAACAGAGGTGTCCCTTTACTAACTGACGCCCTGCCCTGCCTCGGAGCCTCCACTCACTCATGCTGCTCTTTCCTGAAATCTCTCTCTTCTCCTGGGCTATCACTTAAACCTCCACCGGTCACACCGCGCAGTGACCATAAAGGCAGGCTGCGAAGCACTCAGCAGAGGAAGCTTAGTGAAGAGCGAGTTGGAAATTCAAGGAGAATCAATCCCGTTACCTCTCCGGAAGGCAGGCCGCAGCACACACAGAACGTGGGTTAGGAGTGGAGGTTATATAACGGCATTTCCACGGGGCACGGAGGGTGGGCGTGTGTGCTCAGTATCTCTGAGGCATCTGCTTGCGGGTGTTACCTTATGTACTGATTCAGAACCCTGACTGAGACTTACACGTGGCATAGTTTGAAATTACTGGGCCAGGCCTGGACGCTCTATCTAAAATGAGAAGGCAGCCAGGAAGAGCGATGCTTCGTCAGGCGTTAGGGTAACAGCACACATCACCCAGCGGAAAGGCGCCAGCGGGGAGAGGCCAGCAGCAGCGCAGGACTCGTGGCAAACGTGGGGCATCCAGGGCTCGCCCTATAGCTCTCTTCCGGTTTACATGGGGGTGAGAATTCCTGTCACCAGCCAATCATCAACCCAGATCCAAGTAACAGCCACGTATCAGAGCCCAGCCATGCAGATGCTAGCGGGCTCCGCGCACAGGGCGAGTGGAAGTGCTCTGGTCTGGAGACAGCGTCCTGCACGGAGGGGGCAGAGCGCCACGGGCTCGGGCTCAGAGTGCTGCCTACCTTTGCAGTGTGTCACCCGGCGCTTCCCTTGGGATTTCGGAGACAGGGACAGAAGGGCTGGACAGAGAGACAAGGGTGCTGCAGGAGCGCCGGCCTGCCTGCCAGGGCCGGCCGGCCGGGTGCCGCCTACCCCTGCCGCTGGACACTTGGGGCCCTGACACTGCGCTCGCGCGGGGCCTGGCTCCACGTGTCCCAGAAAGGACATGAGCACCGAGGCAAGGCGGGCAGACACAAACCCGCCGAGTGTCTTCCTTTAGGACGGCGGGCAGGGGGATGGGAAAATGAGTAACTACACGAATTTATTTAACTAGTTGCACACTTATAAAAAAATTTTTTTTTTTTTTGCATTTTACATATACTTTTAAGTAGGGTCACTATGCTCAGAAAACAGTATCTATCTTATTACAAGGTGTGCTTCAAACAGCTCTGCGGAAGGGCATGTAGGAACCGTGAGTCGGCGTCTAGGAAATCATAGGCAGAGAAACAGAAGCCGCTTTCAGACAGTTGTGTAACCTGATGCGCTGGAAACCTTCCCTCGGGGGAAACACACCTGTGGGCCGCACGTCCGGTTAGTCAGAGGGAATAAACAGGCAACAGATGTCTCCAGCGGGGAAATGCCAGGAGGCAGGGCTGGTGGCCCGTCACCCTGACCTCTCCCCTGGCGTGTCCCGGTGGAGAGGCAAGGGCAGGTGGGAGGCAAGGGCAGGTGGGAGGCAAGGGCTTAGGACTGTTTCACAGGGGCCTCCTGACCCCCGCCCCTGCCACCGGCTCCCACTCTGGTGACACAGACATCGAAGCTGCTTCCCGGATGTCAAAAGCCCCTGGGGAGCTGCTGCTTATCCACCCCAGCCCAGGTCCGAATGACGGCCACTTCTGAAGGCCGCTCACGCGAGCACCGGACACCATGCACAAAAGAAGTCACGCTTACCTGCACTGAACACAGGCTCCTTGGGTTTGCTGTGAAAATAAACCAAAGACAGCTTTTAAAGCAGGCTGAGACCATGACGGTCGGGAATCCCGCCCAAGCTCGAGGACAGCACCTCGGATGGACAAAGTCATTCCTAGGGGCGGATGTCCTTCAAGTAAGTTCCACGAAAGACCCCATGTGCCAAAGGAAGGCCTGGGCTCTTGATCTTGTCCACTCCCAGCTCCACAGCCCCACGTGACACCCGTTCATAAGAAAGCAAAACTGGCTTCTTCACGAAAGGAACGTGCAGAAGCAATGCCCAACAGCAGGCGGGAGAGGTCGGACTCCTGAGTTTATACCAAAGTTGTGCTTTTTGGGAGAAGTGCTGGGGGAGGCAAATGCTGGGTTAATCAAGGTGGGAACGTGAAAGGGTTTGTTTTCCTTCCCCACACTCTTCTGACAGACTTCACTTATTTAAAGAAGGATCTCGTGGGTGAGGATGCTGAGCGCTGTCTTCTGAGCAAGAGGGGAGGCTGGGATGGAAGGGACTCTTGGGGGCTGCGGGGACCGCACTGCTGACCTTGGCTGCCCTGGGCCACGCCGCCGAGCAGGCTGAGACCACTACAATGAGGGATCCGGCCCAGAGTCGAGCACAGCACCTCGGAGGTACCAAAGTCATCCCGAGGGGCAAGTGTCCTTGAGGAAATTCCATAAGTGTCCCCACACGCCAAAGGAGGGCCAGGCCCCAGCGTGGCCACCACTTCCTGTTGGGGTCCCCCTCTCCAGGACAGCCATGGCGAGCTAGTACCACCCCCACCCCACCAGCACGGGGTACCGCTATGGTTTGGGGATGGTTTGACCCCAAACTCTATGTGCTAGAAGCCTGGTAGTCACACAACAGTGTAAAAAAGCAGAGATACCTTTGTTTTCATTTTCTATTTTTTATTTACTTTTTTGAGGCAGGTCTCGTTATATAGTTCAGGCTAGCCTTGAAGTCACTATGTTACTTAAGTTGGCCTTGAATTTATAGTGCTCCTCCTGCCTCAGCCTCCTGAGTGCCAGGATTTCAGGTGTGCGCCAGCCCAAATAAACCTTTCCTTTATCAAGTACCCAGCATCAGGTATTCTATTACTCAATACTAAACAGCCTGAGATGAACAGGAGGAAAGCACATGACTCACTGCTTGACTCCAACTCTAGCGGACCCCAAAGTCTGTGTTGTTTCCCCCCAGTGCCCAGCTTCCCTGCTCTGCTTTACGATATGGAACAAGACGGATCAAACAGGCAGGAGCCGGAGGAACGCTGGCTTCACCACCACCCTTTAGACCCCGCGTGAGGCTCAGGTACTGTGTATGTGCTTGCATAATGAAAAAAAAAACTTGAGCGGATAGACTTCTAATATTACTTCTTAGTTTTAACTTTGAATACAACAAAGAATTTTCTTGAGCAGGCAGTGGGGGCTGCTCCTTTGCTGAGGGTTGTAAAGCGGCTAGTGCTCTGTTCTAACGGAAGTGGCCCAGTCCGCCACTGGCTCAGTTTTCTAAGTTCTGAAGTGTGGTCTTTGGGACTCTCACACTGTAAAAGCCCAGTGTAACTCTAACCTAAGGGCCTAGTCCAGGGGTGGCAGACCTTTTAGAGCTTTCAGTGATAACGAATGGCCCACGGGGGCACACATGTCACCCGCCACTGGCCCGGGCCTGCTCTCCACTGACTGCATCTCCCTTCCCGGCCTCCCTGCGGCTCTGTGAACCTGCCATCCACACTGAGCTCTGTTCCCTGTCCCTCCGCAGGGACAGCAGCCCTGAACACACTGTGAGGCCCCCGCACCCAGCCCGGCCTGCTCTGCTGCTGTCTGCGGCTCCAACAAACTTAGTTCGTTTCTCCTGCTGGGCGTCGACCCCACGGGAAGGAGCCCTCTCCTCCTGCCACTCTGCAAAGGCGCGCAGTGGTGGCCTGCCCCTTTGGCGAGGAGCTTGTCACTCGCAGGGGTCCAGCCTGGTCCACTCGGTGGCCTTGGCACGATGGCTGTGACACTGGCTTGCCTGGGTGGTCCCACAGTCAGGGTGGCACCTCTGCCCCTGAACCAGCCCCAGTGTTTTCCTGAATGGGTTGAGGGCATTGTCCTGCACTCCAGGTCCTGGACACACGGTGACTTGCAATGCCATCCCAGTGACCGGCCCTGGAGCAGGGCTGACAGGTGCCCGATGCCAGCTGAGGAGAGACACGAGTGTCTGACCGTGACCGGGAAGCCTGGGTGGAGGGAGAGTCCAGGACAAGGCCAGTTTTGTCACTTCCAGGCCTTATTCAGACTAAAGCCCAAGCTGTGGCTGGGACATGGAAATAAAATCACCAAGGAAGGCAGAAGATTCTACGATGTCAATAGTAATTGCTTGTACAAATTGTCCTTATGCAGCTTTTTTACTAAAGATAAGGTCACTAGGAACCTTACTTCTTACTGTTATTATTATTATTATTATTATTGAGACAGGGTCTCTCTATGTAGTTCAGGTTGGCCCTGAGCTCCCTGTATAGCCAGGCTGGCCTTAAACTCACAGTGATCCTCCTGCCTCAGCCTCTCCAGTGCTGGGATTACAGGTGTGCGCCATCACATCCAGCTAGGAACCACCTACTAAAAATGTGTCCAAGTCACTGGAGACTTGACTGGGGACAGAAACTACATCTTCCCAGAGTCTGCCAACCAAAAGGAACCCAAGCTTAGCAGGGTGGGTGCAGCACAGACTTGGGTGTCAGCTGAGGCTCGGCTGGCGCTTTCCCTCACGGGCAGAGCCTCTTTCTGCAAAACGGGAGCAGAACCTCTGTGCGGTGCAGGTACTGACAGATTAAACGACCAAGAGATGGAGGAGAGGGGGACACAAGAAGCATCAGAACCCCCATGAGGAACATGATCGTGCACCGCAAACACGGGCTTGTAATAAAACTTTAAAAATTAAAAGGGGAAAAATGAACCCCAAATCTGTATCTATTTATATATCCACACCTATCTACCTGTATCTATCTACAGCTACATACAGATACAGGTATGAAACATGTAACAAAGTGCCCAAAACATTGTTGCTAATTAATCCTACTTCCCTCTCCCTCTAACTTCACCAAGAGCCTCTGTGTATCTCTGGGCTCCTCTACAGTTGCAAACTAAACTTAAAGAGTGCCACCCCCAGTGATTCTAAAGTATATTCAGGGGTAGACGACCCCAGAGCTGGAAACGGGAAACAATCTTCTCAGTGAACATAGGCTCCTTCGAGTCCCTCGGCTTCCAGCGACTGCTTCCGCGTGGGCTACCATCCTCGACCCGCAGGTGGCGCTACGCACCTAGTTCTTCAACAGCACTGGACCTTCTATGCGGCATCCCTTCCTTGGACACATCTTACTGAGCAGTTTCTGGGCACAGCCGCACGCCAGGACGTGGGGGCCGGAGTTAGGGTCACAAAGTTAGCAACCGAAAGGCACCCGCTTCAGACTTGGGGACGGGAAGGTGTGGCAAGAATGGGGCAGCCCCAGTAGGGCCTGTCAGGATGTGTTGGAGTGGCCCAAGAGCAGCCCCCACGGGCCTGCCCCAACCCCAGGCAGAGCTGGTCACCCGAGGGGAACATCCCAGTGCTGGGCTGTGGCTGCCTCAGGACCACTCGTGAGGTTAGCAAGTCAGCTACTTCTCACCTAGATCTGCATGTCTTCCACGAAGTGTAGCCCTGGGTCCTTCTCAGCACACTGCGCTCTCCAAGCTTTAGCTGCTTTTTCTGCAGCGTCATCTTTCCCACTGGCTTGGGCTGAGTCTCACCCAAAGGAATACAGCCAGCCTTGCCCTGGGTCCCCGTGCCGCTGCTGTCTGTGGGCGGGGGCCGATCTGTGCCACTCGGGGTGGGTTTTGTGGGTAGCAGGTGAGCCCCTCAGACGGTTGTTTATTGAGTGAGCAAAGTGAAAGAAACTGCAGAATTTCTAGTTCCTTCCTTTGCTGGCTGGAGGGAGGACAGGGACAGGAGCTGGGGGGTTAGGGCGTGTCCCCAAGAAGAGGCAGGTCCAACAAGGGGCAGCACGAGACCTGTACACACACCTGCCTGGTACGTGGGGTGGGGACAGCAGTGCGTGGGGTCACCATGGAGGAGCGGGCCAGCCCATGGAGGAGCCCGCACCCAGGCCTCGTACCAGCCTGCAGAGGGCGCACCATTTCCCGGCCACGGAGGAAGTCCTGAGAGGGGCTCATCACTCACAGCCACGCAACAAAAAGCGGCAGAGCCTGGTGACAACTTGATTTGATTACGGCTATAAGACTGCCATCAGCCTCCCTCTCTCTCTCTCTCTCTGTCTCTCTCTCTCTCTCTCTCTCTCTCTCTCTCTCCTTTATTTCTTCACAGGGTCTGGCTCTGCAGTTCAGGCTGGCCTTGAGCCCCATCACACCCAGATAGGGCATCACCACTGTAGCCGTCTTTTGTTATACTAATTGGGATAAACAGATTCATACAACGAATGTTTGCTGCATGCCTATGTGCTAGGCATGGTCTTAGGTGCTGCACCGGACCGACCACCTGAGTACCTACCCCCAGCACACTTCCTGGACGTGCACCTCTTTAACTCATCCCCACCCCCCCAGCACCGGGAGGGGTACAGGCCGACTCGGAGGGTACTTACTCAGCAAGCGGAAAGCGGATCACAGCACGCACAGCTACTGTGACGTCTGAGTCGTACCGAGTGCAGCAGCACCCTCGAAACAAAGTGGATGAAGTGTGACGCCTGTTAGCTCCAAGGCCTCCGAGGGGTGAGGTCGCAGGTGACTTTCCTTTCCTTCTTTTGCACATCTGGATTTCCTAACAAGTTACTTGCAATAAACTCCAAAGCAGACTTTAAAGCTCTTACTGGAGGAAACTGTGGACATGTGGGAGAGGTGTGGACGCTGGGGCGTAGGGGAGGCTGAGAGGTCTGCTGGTGAGGGCCCCTGAACCCCAAGAGGCTGAGCATTAAGATTTAGATGACAGCTCAGGCTGGGTGTGGTGGCCCATGCCTGTAGTCCCTGCACGGGGGAGGCTGAGGCAGGAGGATCACTATGAGTTTGAGGCCAACCTGGGATACATACTAAGACCCTGTCTCAAAAGTTAATTAATAATTAATAACGAACAAATAAATATCACAGCACCATTGTGTAGGCACCAAGCTCCCAGCACATGCACTCTGGGGTGAAACCCAAACCATAGTATCACCCTGTCCTGATCTGGACTAGACACGGTGCTGTCTCCCCAGCGGCTGCCCTGGGGAAGGGCGCGCCAACAGGAAGTGGCTTTAGGAAGCTCCCGGCTCTGTGGTCCCCGACTTCTCTGTCTCGCCCGGTACAGGCGTTCAGGGAAATGCTTTCTCCCTGCAACACCTCTCCCTCGCCTTTCCCTGCACCGTGTGGGCCCCAAGGGCCGGCGGTGGGTGTGGGGTCAACGCAAAGTTGCCAGCAAGTGGCTACAACATTTCCTGTTCTAAAAAAATCCGCCCGGGGTGGATTTACACCGAGATACAGGGACTTGCCCACTCAGTTGTGGATCTTAATTCGGAGTGTGGTAACTGAAACATTTTATTTATTTTTTATTTATTTATTTATTTTTTTGGGTTTTTCTCCGGTACCGGGAACCGAACTCACGACCTTGAGCTTGCCAGGCAGGCGCTTTGCCGCTGAGCTAAATCCCCAGCCCCAACTGAAACGTTTTATCAACCTAGCAACTCTGATATAAACTGTGCTTCTAAATAGCGGCACAGTGCCTGTCTGGTAAGTGCAAGGTCCTGAGTTTGATTACTGGTAAAAAAAAAAAAAAAAAAAAAAAAGGAAAAAAAGAAATACTCTTTTAAATTAAAAAGATCCTTATAGATTACTATACTAGGTACATTATACAAGTCTTCCATTAGAATGTCATTGCTGGTTCCCTATTTAGATTTAATAAGTACTTCATGATGACATGAATCACTGTATAATTACTATTAATTCACTATCAATAATACATACAGTAAACTATTACATGGCCCTACATTGCCTTTTTTTTCAAAGCAAGCTTTTTCATACAAATAGTAAGTAAACTCTGTTAAAATTCTGTGGTTTGTTACAAGCAAAATACTTCAAGCTGTTAACTGTTTTAAAATGAAGATTAAGATTGTATCATGTCAGCCCAGCATGGTAGTACACACCTGTAATCCCAGCACTCTGACAGGCTGAGGCAGGAGGATTGTGAATTTGAGTCCAGGCTGAACAACTAGGTGAGAACCTGTCTCAAAGTAGAAAATTTAAGAAGGGCTAAGGATGTACTGTAGTATGAAGATCGTGGGTTCGGTCCCCAGTACTGCCAAAAAGATATCCTGTCATGTCACAAAAAAGACTATCAGACCCAGTTAAATGAGATACAGGAGCGAGAAGATTAAAGCTATTATAAAGGATACAGTTTCTAAGGAAGTAAACATGCAATTATTTTAGAATAAATTACTGTGTTTTGGAAAATGCCAGTGCTGGTGACTTCGAAAGCTCCTTCTGCTCAGCAGTGCACATTTACACGGTGTACACAGCACAGTTTACAGCTGCTGCAGTTGTTGCCGAGAAGCACGCCGCTGTGGAACTGGTTTTCTGGGTAAAGGGAGCCTTTTTCTAATTTGTGCGAGAGCCTTTCGTGCCGACCGCAACGGGGTGTGACGCACTGTGGGCTTTGTAGCTAATAATCTCTGACTGCTGCAGGACAGCGCTGCCGTGTGTCACTCGCGCTTCTCCACAGCGGGCCAGGCCGGAAGCTGCAGCCAGGACCTCGTTCTCCCGGGACAGCAGCGGGCAGCGCCGGGTGTAGGGACGCCTCCTAGAGTCCTGGGGCTCTGGCCAGGCCGCCCGGGGTCCCAGCCACTCAGGGCCCAGCACATGAGACGTCCCTCCCCGGCAGCTGGGAGCAGTGTGGGGAGGCACCACACTTGGATTATTTCCCGCAGCTGCGGTTAGATTTTATCCAAGCCTGGCTGTGCTCAGAGGACTGTGTTGCTAATACAAATGTCTAACACGTGGGACGAGAGAGGAGGCTAAGCGCCCCACGTCACTGAGCGCCCTGGTCTTACGCGGGGGAGCCAACCCTGAGAGCTGCGGAAAGCCTCGAACAGCGTCTGCCTGTGCTCCACGGGCGTCTCCCCTTTGATGATCGCCGGCTCTGATGGCTCTGTGACCTGCGCCAGGCACCCTGCTTGTGGATTCCTGGAGTCAGTGCTGTGTTTGTACCTAGACGTCTCCAAGAGGCTCGGGCGGCCACCGGCGGGCCTCTGGGCGGTGACAGGATTGCAGGGCCTCGTGCTGCCTTGCAGCCACTTGTGGGGCAAAACCTCAACAAGGTGACCTAAATTACGCCTGTCCTTCTTTAGGTTGTGGCTGTCCTCTTCTAAGCAAGGAAGAAAGTGACTGAGACAGTAAAATTCGAGGGAATCGGATATCCAATCCCAATTTCACAAGGCGCTTGGTGGGGGGCGCGAGGCCGCAAGTGGCCGACAAGCCCAGAGCTTGGGGCCCTTCCCATGCTGTCTTGCTGCCCACAGCCACCAACTGAGCACATGCTTTAGCTGTGACACAGCCCCCGGAGCAACGACGTGTGGTCTAGTGCGGGGCAGGGCGGGGGCCAGAGGCCGAACGCTCTTGAGATCCTACCTGCTGTCCTGTTTTGTGTATGTGGTTCCGGGGATCGAACCCAGGGCCTTTGCACTGACCTATGTCCCCAGCCCAGTTTGGATTTTTAATTTTGAGACAGGGGCTCGCAGAGTGGCAAGCTGTTCAGACTGGACTTGAACTTGAGCTCCCCTTGCCTTGGCCTCGGGAATGCTGGGGTCACAGACAGGCGCCATGCGTTCAAGTCTTGAAACTTCTCTCTGCGGGCTGTCTAGACCCGAGCCGGCTTCTCCAGTGGGTGGGAGGCCGGAGCAGCCAGGTGGGGAGCTGCCACACGGGAAGGGAGAGGGCATGGAGGAAGCTGCCAGCTTGGCCTGCGGCTCCCAGCTGCGTCTCTGCTATGCATCCCAAGAGGCCTTGCGGGTGTCCGTCAGTACCAGCGGTCACCAGGGGAGGCGCAGCACCTTCCCGAGGCCCCAGCCACTCAAGAGGATCACGCTACGCTGGCCTCCTCCAGCCCCGGGTTCTAACGAGGCGAAGGACTTGTTTTTACATAGACGCTTTCAGTTGTCCGCATTATTTTTAGAAAATGATTAATACACTCCCCCAGCCCCTCACTCCCAAATCAAAATTTCCTACTGTGGCATTTCTCAAAAATCCCTTTGTAAATATCTTTTATGGAAATATTTACCCAGCACATTTACCAAAGCTGTAGGATTTAAAAAGATAAAACAGATTTGGGGTTTACACAATGCAGATTCTTTTTGCAAATACTTAATAAAAATCAGATGTGCCCAGAAGAAGCCAAGTTTACAAGAACTGCCAAGATCTAGACATCTGAGGTCAACTTCTTGGTGCACCCCAAATTCTGGGAAGCCTTCAGGGCCACGCCCCTCCCCCCGGCTCACCCTCAGCTGCTGCTGTGACCACCTGGCCTGATTTCCAAGGTATTATCACCCAATTAGCATAATCTTCTAACAGGAAGCACTAAGAGTCTAAATTAGAAGACAGACCTTCTGTCCATGGTTTCTGAGCGAGCTCTTTAACTGACTGTGGACTTGATCTGCTATAGACTGCGAAGTAAGTGTGATTTTTTCTATAAAAGGAACCTTGTAGGAATACAACTGGAAAAGAGGTTAAGCGTCTTTTACAGGACCGAATCACAACAGATTTACAAACTTGGAACCTGTACAGCCCGCGGTTTGGAGTGAACTGCATTATGACTAAGCCTTCTCCTTACATGAACATTTGAAAAGAAACATGGTTAGCCTCTGGAACTGAAATTTCTCCCCGAGCTTCGCTAAACAGAGAATAAAATTAAAGCACAATGTTTAAAGAGAATAAAGCATATTAGGCAGATACACACAGGAAAACCGACCTCATCTATACATTTTTAAACGTACACTAAGCTGTTAAAATGCCCTAAAAGTAGCTAACAAATAAAATGTTACTATCCATTTCACAGATACTTATAATAACCCATTATAAACTAACCTCATAAGAAACCCTCAGAGTTAGGAGTGAAAGTAGGTCAGGAAACCAGAGAGAAAAATGTTTCCTATTTCTGTTGTTAGCTCCATATTGGAGTCTCTGACAAATTATAAAATTACAACGCTTGGCTCGTTTTGTGTCAGAAAAATACTGCTGACAGTCTTAAACCAGTGCATTCCACTGATCTTACGATGGGAGCAGGTATACCAGAGGGGGGCCGGGCCTCATACACAGGTCCAGGATGGCTTCCAGGCTCGCGGGACTTGGTACTAAGCAAATTCTCGGGAACCACTTACGCCCACAGGACAGCCGGGAGACCGCGTTACGGACGTTTGCCCTGGGCAGGAGCTCGCGTGAGCTGTGCTTGGCAGTTCCCCTCAGATGCCTGTCTGGTCGGGGCCACGTGGTCAGGAGGAGGCCTGGGCCTGTCTGCATGCAACAGGCCCTAGACTGTCCCCGGCACCAAGGGTAACGGGCTGTCCCAGCAGGGCCCCTTGACTCGAGAGTCCCCTCACCTTTCGCTGTTCTTCTTGCCGCTGGAGGAGCTGCTGGTGGAGCCTGTACGGTTCCGGCCTCCCTTGGAGTCCCCAGAGCTCTCCCTCCGGCCGCCAGGGGACACGCGTTCCGAAGAGCTGGTCCGCTTGATGCTGCTGAGAGGGGCGACAGTGACATCCTTCCTGCTGCCGGCCCGCTGCACTGCTGAGTGTGCACTACACGGGCCCTGACGCTCCCGCGTGGACCTGACAGCCAGAGGGGTCCCACGGCCCTGGCCGCACACATCAGAACACTTTCCAGAGCATTGTGTGGAATGGATGCTGCGGTCAGCACAGGAAACTGAGGCACAGGGTGGGGTCCCCCTGGTGCTCAGCCAGGGTGACGTCACCCCCAGCAGGCAGCTGGCAGTGTCTGAGGCAGTTCTGGCTGCCACCGCTCAGGGAGAAGTGACGATGACCGGCCCCCAGGAGGTAGAGCTGGGGACACAGCCACACATCCTACGAGGCCCAGGGGACCCCCAGCAAGGAACTACCCAGCCCCAGGCACCAGCAGTGCTGCCGCGTCAGAGCCTAGGCTGGAAGGCACGCAGGCAGCGAGAGGGTGCCAGAGGCCAGTGATGACAGGCACGCCCGCCACATGTGCAGTGCCCTCGGTGGAGGCGGCGCCTGGCCAGGGCAGCAAAGCGGTCAGCTTCATGCCACACACCCAGAGGGACAGTGTGGCTGGCATCAGGAAAGGGAGGCCTGGGCGGCTTGCTGCAGCCTGGGATTTCGGGAGAAGACCGCATGAAAGGCTTGGATGCGTTGTGACTACGCAGGCCAAGAGCCTGCCTCTAGGAAAGGGAAACTCGAGATGCAGGAAGCCCACAGGCTCGGAGCAGAGCCAGGCCCGGGGCGCAGGAGGACAGGCCACTTCCTTGCGGATCACGCAGCGGCCAGGTGCTGCCTCCCCGGCCCTGGTGCTACAGCATTTGGGGAGCAGGCCTAGGAGGTCACGGGGTAACCAGGCCGGAGCCCTCACGAATGTGATCAGTGCCTCTGGAGAGGGAGCCCTTGCGCCTCTCCCCCCACGGGGGACACAGCGAGAAGAGGCCAGGCTGCGAGCCGGGAGCCCTCGCCTGACCTGACTGTGCTGACCTCCGGGCGAACGCAGGCTTTGGGGTCCTGGAACCACGAGAAATAAATTTCCGGGGTTCACTGGTCGCGCTGCTGCCGCAGCCGCCCCAACTCGCTGAGACAGAGCGCGAGGCGGCCCTTTCAGCGGCCGGCCCGCTGGTTTTCGTTATCTCTGTCCCAAGCATGCTTGGGATCTGGCCTCCCCGTCATTTCCCGGCTCTGTGGAGCCTCGTGAGGACGCTCCATACGGACTGATTAAGAAAAAGGGTGACAGGTGACTGCTCACTCGGCATCCCCACTGTCGCCCTGCTGCAGAGACAGGAGCTGCTCGGATGTCACCCCGCTCCGAAGAAGGACAGGGAGCCAGGGATGGCGGGGACGCCCACGGCTGTGGTGGCAGGGGCAGACACAGGTCTGAGACCTGTCTGCCGCTTGCTGGATGGCTCGGGACAGGACCGTCCATCTGGTGGCGACTGGGGCCCGGAGAAAGTCACCGAAGGAGGCAGTGGTGAGCGGAGGGGACGAACGGGAGGGCCCCGGAGAGGCTAATGTAGGCGGCTCGAGGCTGACAGTGGAGGCCGTGGAGCGGGGGGGACCGTGTGGTGGGGGACAGCGTGGTGGGCAGAGAATGGAGCCGGGGAGGAGAGAGAGGACCAAGACAGGGCAACCATGAAGCGAGGACAGGGAACCGAATCCCAGGAGGAGACGGCATTTGAGGGCCCCAAGGCCCAGGACCACTGCGCCTCGCCCAGGCTCCAGGCGCTCATTTCCAGACACTGAAACCCCGAGATCCGCGCATGCGCCCTGTACGGCCCCTGCCGCCGCTCTTTCCCGCAGCCCTGACCCTCTTCCCAGCCCCCTTCGCCGCCCGTCCGTCCTCTGTTCTCTCTTCTGCCCTTCTCCCTCTGCACCTTCCCGCTGGCCAGTTAATAACATCCTCGAGGGTTTTTAAACACCTCCTGGTGGGTGGCTTTCGAAAACTCCCTCGGGAGGTGAGCAAAGTCAACACAGTGACCAGGGTCACAATTCCTTCCATGTCCTTTTTGCACGGTCTTTTTCCCCATAACTGAGAAAGCTCTGAATGTTCAGCACCGACATCCAGCTAGAAATGGCAAGGGCGTGTCTAAGGATCAAGTGCGAGTCTTCAGAAAGCTCCATTTTTCTTTTTCTTTTTAGACAGGGTCTCACCATGTGGTTCAGGTTGGCCTTGAACTCACTACACAGCCCAGGCTGACCTTGAACTTGCGGCGATCCTCCTGCCTCAGCCTCCCCACTGCGGGATTACAGGTGTGCACCACCACACCGATTGGATTGCTCAATGTGGGGACAAGAAAATTACAGCCCTCAGGAGAACAGTACATTTCTGTGACATGAGACTGTATTCTAAAAGTCATAAAAGCTTTTGTGCCTGAAGTTCAAGATCTTCCATTGAGGAAAAAACCATGCAGACTCAGACCAGCAGGATGGTTCTCTGCCAAGTGCCGAAGCTGAGCCTGAAGCTGTGTGTGTGACCTGCTGATGGGGCCCTGGGGGCGGGGGCTGCGCAACAGAGCAGCCCGAAGCGTCGCTGCTGCGGTGTCCTTGTGGGAGTTCACGGCAAGTTCACGGCAATTTACAGAATTGTATAAAACACCCTTATGGAGCTGAACAAACCGCGACTGTCAGTCAGTCGCAGCAAACGCGAACCAATTTTCTGATGATGAACAATCAACCTGGGGTCGGGGCGGAGCGGGGCGCCAGCGCCAGGGGGGTCAGCAGCTGTCCACTGCTCACACACGGGCAGCGCTGAGGTCCCGCACAGTGTCACTTGAACCTCGCCATCCTTGCAGAAATCACCACCCTCATCTCACAGGTGGGGAAACGATTGTGGGTTTATGATGGCATCTGTCTGAGGCTCAGCAAAGGACTGGGCTGATGACTGCACACATGTGCGTGCACACACACACACACACACACACACGCCCAGGTATGCACATGCATGCTCACGCACACACAGCCCACCACCACCTAAGACCTAAGATCACTGTGATTTATGAAACACTGAAGCGCACTGGCCTTTGAGGACCTCACGGGCATCTACAAACCCAATGCTGATCAATAACAAATGCAGTTACCCAACTTCAGCCTTGTCATATACTAGGTCAGCGATAGCGAACCTTGTAGAATTTTCAATGCTAACAAACAGCCAGCTGGGGCACATGTGCCATAGGTTCGCCACCGCTGCCCTAGTCCCTGGACCAGACCATTACATCGCTGTGTTCAGAGTGGAGGTAAAGGACCAGAGGAACAGCCGGGGTTCTGAAACAGAGCTGAGCTCCCTGTGCCTTGGGGTGATCTACTCGGTTTAATCTACACGCAGAAACAAAGCGGAATAAACAGAAGCACAGCAATCGAAGGGCGGGAAAGAATTTTAAGAAGCTGGAAGCTGCAGGATGCGCACATGGAAAGCCGTCTGCTTTGCATGTACAGACTTGGGTCTGACCCGTGCAGCTCTCTCTCAAGACACTTGTCATTCCCACACTTGCATCAAAATGTTCTTCAAAGTCTCACTATTGTCCTATTTTCAAGGAAAAAAAAGACATTCCCTGTTGAGAGCCAAGGGCGCTTGTGAATTGAAGAGGATTTACTGGGACTCCAATGCAGACGGGAAAGAAAAGCCTGAAGACGGACATTTGCAGCCAGGAGGGCAGGCAGAGGGACTCACTGCAGGAAGTTTCCCTAAATCAGTGGGGACTATCAAAGAAGTTACACTCCCTCCGGACAGCACAGCGAGCGAAAACAATGCTCCTCATTTTGAGAGCGGCTTGTGAGCCAGGACAAAACAACGCAGTGTATTTCTTCGTGCTGAACTCGGGTGAAGAATTTCGGGGGTACAAACCCATAAAAGTCGTTTCTCCTTTTCCTTCTCTTCTCTACCCCTTGTGCCCAACCCCCATGTCTAAATTCTGAAAATACGATGGCTCCTTACAACTCATTACGTATGCACCAAGAATTCTTGCCAATTTAGATTTCAGACATCGTGAAATTTCTGCGGTGAAGACGGGTGCTCAGAAACAGGGCCATCTTTTTCAGGGGTGGGTAATTAGAAGCTACCGTTGCATCTTTCTCCCATCAAGCGATCTGGAGTTAAGAAATGGGTTTTTCAAATTTTTACCAAAAGATCCCAAACTTTGACCCATGGAACAGAACTCTGACAGGCAGCTCTCAGGCATGACAAGAGATTTCTCAACCATTTTATTTGTCATGACAGCCAGGCGTAACACTAGACTGAAAACAATTATCCACTCAACAAACATGAATTAGGCCACTGACCACACCCTTGCCTTAAGACAGCAGGGTCCTCAGAGGACCAGGACCAGCGTAGCTTTTGTCCTGCAAACTATGACACATCTAGTCCTGATGGACTACAATAATACAGTTAAGGAGAGAAACACGGTCACCCGCCACTGTCTAAAATATGTATCTTTGTGACAAAATACAAGTCATTTCCTAGGAAGGCTGTGGTCTTAGGGATCTTCCAGAGAGAAAGCTATTTTTCCTGCGACATGAAGGCAACTACCTCTGTCAGGGGAACTGCACCGCTTTGGGTAAGAACTGGGGGCCAAATGGCCTTCCCTCGACCAACAGGACAATACTCCCATCTCTATTCTGCTGCTGAGGACAGACTCAACACAGGCCAGCTTACCATCTCTGTTTCAACGGAGCTGTGTAACAAAGAAATATATTAAAAATAAATTTTTTAAAAATCCACTAAAGACTGATTTTCTTTTTCCACTCTCCAAGGCGTGTAACTCTCTGGCCCTGACTTCAGGATAGTGTACTTCTAACAAGTGGAACTGTTTTTCCGAAGGACTACTGGCCATTTGTTTGGAAGCAATAGCTATTTTACTCTGCTATCCCATGCTTGGCGCTTTTAAAATAATGCTTTCTGTACCGGTTCTGTTCTTTTGATCTCTACCCTCACAGCTCGGCCTATTGTAATGCGCGGCTTACCAGCGGAGAGAATGAGTGATTGTCCCTTTCTCGGGCCAGTGGGAATGTTCTTTATTGTCCGCTGCACATTCCACAGAGCTAGGTATGACCTGCGAAGTCTTCCCTGGATTTTTGGCCTTTTTTCCTTTGACTAATGGAAACAAAGCTCTCCCCAAAGATTCCAAGGCAAGCCCCCAACCCCAATAGAAGTCTTAATTGGCAACACAAAGCACAACCGCTGGGGGCTGGACTATTTCCAAGGAGGATTTTGTTCTTAAGCACCAGCCTGAAAAAACCCCAGAGAAAAGAAAACAAACATATACCGCAGATGCCCCAACTCGGCTCATTTGGAACTCTGATTACTGAGAAATTCCTGCGTGATTGTAAACATATCTGAAATTACTCCATAGCTGTTTTAACCCTAATACTCAGCATGCCCTGCTTGCTTCTTTCCGCTGTCGAAATTCTCTGCTAAGGAGAGATCTGCAGGAATAGGACCACAGGGTCACAGTGAGATGCTGCTACTTCTATTTCCAGCTTTGGATCTGATGGGAACTCTGACCCACGGAGCCCAGGAAGCCAGAGGAATCTAGAGAGCCACGGAGCTCCAGGGAGCAGCGCACCGCTGACAGCAGCTTAGCAGATAACCGAATGGATTAGTCTGTAAACTGAAACGTCACTGTTTCTGCAGAGAGGGCTACCGTGTAACATTCACGGGGGGGGGCTGTAATTCCTGTGTCTGGTTGCCAGGCGGCTCCGACCCACAGGTGCTACCTACATGACTGTCCAATCAGGCGGAGTGGCACAGACCCATCGGGTGGTACAAGCTGCCTGACCCGGTAGGCAGCATGGACTGCTGGGGTTCAAGCTGGTGAGGACGCAGAGCTGTAGCATTTCCCCCGCCCCTCCCTCTCACCTTCCTTCCTCCTCCGACAGCAGTCATCGCTGTCCAGGAGTCCTTCGTATCTAGATGGCTGGACCTTGTGGCCTGCTGCTCCACTTGGAGTCCAGCCCGCAGCCCTTACGAACGGGTGGTTCTGTCCCTTGGACTCACAACCTGCCAGGAACCTCCGCCCAGCACAGCCCTCACTCCGGGCCACAGCTCCTGCTTCTAACCGATGGCAGACGACCGGAAGGGCATAAAGCCGGCACCTTCCAGGCTGTGGTCACAGAGAGAGGGGCAGGTGCTCTGCAGACAGACAAATGTGGGGGTGTTCTTCCTAGCCCTGGGACCCCTCCCTGGAAAGTGTGCTTCACTTCTCTGGGCCTCAGTTTTCTCACTGGCAAAACAGGGAAAAGAATACATACCTTGCCCGGTTGTTTTAAGGATCACAGATAATGGTATCAAACACTTGGTACTTAGCTTAGGTAATTACCAGAAAATGATTTCTGCTACTACTACTGGCTTAAAAAGGGGGTGAAGCCAGGCGTGGCGGTATTCCCCTGTAATCCCAGCCCTCGAAGGTTGAGGTAGGAGGATCATGGGAGTTCAAGGCCAGCCTGACACAGCAAGACTATCTCAACCCTCCCCACACAGACAAAGCAGCGGGGTCGGGGGGAGTCCCCCGTTACCCCTCCATGTCTCATTCACATTCTGCGGAAAAGTAGCAGGCTCTCCTTACTCCTGTGGTCAGTTTCAGAGAACTCGTCCTGCCCTGAATAAACGCTTCCCATATTAGAACTCAAAGTACAATCACCTAAGAACTCTAAAAATCACGTCAATGAATCATGGGAGGGCTAAGGAAACCATGAACACAGCATTACTGCACATCAAACTTGCTTTGGACCGAATGCAGAGACGTCTACAAAATCAAAGAGACCAAGAATGCTTGACATATGCTCTCATGAAGCAAATGAACCAAAAGCTAGAAATTATATCCACATTTCAATTTTCACTTTTTTTTTTGCTTTAAGTTTTCTTCTTTCAGCCAGACACAGGGCATATGGCTCTACACCAGACTATTATTCAGCCTTAAAAATGAATCGGTCATATGCTAGGACATTATGCTAAGCAAACCATCCAGTCACAAGCGGACACACACACACACACACACACACACACACACACACACACACGACCCCCTCATCTGAACGGTCTGAAGGAGTCAAAGTCATAGGAACAGAAAGTAGAGACCTGGGCCCCAGGGGCCGTGTTTAATAGATGTAGTTTCAGCTTTGCAAAATGAAAATGTTCTAGTGATCTACTGAACAACAATATGAACATACTTAATGCTACTGAGCAATATACTTAAAAATGTTCAGCTGGTAAAGTTAATGTTATGCTTTTTTTTTACCCCAATTATAAAACATAACAGATGGAATCGTGAACATTAAAGAAAAAAGTCAATCTTATTCATCTCACATATAGATGCATAAGTCTCATCCACTGCTGCCAACTAGAATCCAGGTCATTTGGGGTTGATTATAAGTACAAATGGTCCGGTTAGATATAAAATAAGGCCAAGAATTGCATTTTAAGGTTCTAAAAAGTACTGCAAAAACAATTTTCAAAAATTCACGCAAAAAATAAACACGTGAAACTATGTGGTGAGACGCAACAAGCCTATGCCTGCCAAAGTCAGGTCACTCTGTACAAACTATTTGAAAGAGGCCATGAATTTGTTTAATATAGCGGCTACTCCACATCCATTTTTCAGGATTGACATAATTTGTCTGACACCCATTGTATCTTGTCACCTCTAGTCTGCTTAAAACATCCCCCCACCGTTTGATGCACGCCTGTCGGCTCATCCCTCATCTGATCCAAACCCACCTGCCCAGGACAGAACCTGGGAGCAGGCCCCAGAACCACACCAGCCACTTCTCTGCTTGGTCCATGTTTTCCTTACGGGCTACTGCCTGATCCCACTGCCCTAGCTGCCAGCCGAGCACCCCAGGGTCAGCCCTCAGGGGCTCCCTCTTTTCTCCTGACCCTGAGCCATGAAATGCTTCTCTGTGGTCCTGCCTGATCCTAAACACAAACTTAACTTCTTTCCAGACCAGGGCTCTCCCAGAGAGTGTCTGTCCTGGAAGAAACTGGCAGCCACCCGTCGGGAGGACATGGGGCAGGCACAGACCCTGGGCCTCTGCGGGGGTGAAGAAATCGCTCAGGAAAGGCCCCCAGCACTCCACCATCGAAATCCAGGCCCCTTCCGCACCAGCTGGGGTTCACCTCGATTTTCTGAGTGAGCCCTGGAGACTGACCCAGAAGAGAAGAGAAGATGAGCTGAGTAGATTTTTGTTCCAAGTCAGGGCAGCACCACACACTGCACGGACCTGCGCAAGCCCTCAGGAACCCGCAGGGGAGCCCGGGTGTGCTCACAGCCCAAAGGCCCAGCTGGGCCTTACTTAGTATTTTCACCGACTCTACAATTTGTTGCATTCTTGATCCCAAGAGAAAGCTGCAGAAGGATTTCCCTGAGGCTTTTATATTATATAAGCATCCGGTGTTTAATTTTCCTAGGCCTAAAGAATTTAGACTGGTTACAAAATATAACATTTTAATATGCCTATTATGAATTAATAAAAAAAAAAGTTGAAAGTGAACTCCAACCTGTCTGGTAGACATCAATATCTAGAGCTCTACTGTTAGGTACCACTTAAAAGTATGAGCTTATCCATTTACAGATTAAAAAAAAAAAAAAAAAGTCAAGGTTGCTATGGCAACCTGCATTTTGCTGCGTTCCAAATATGGATGCAGGAACAACATACTGGTTTTAACCTCCCTATATAGTCCCACTTATTTTTATAAAGAGAACCTGAAGTAAAAATTCAGGAAGGTACACTGTGGCTTTAGCCAGTGAGATTTCACAGACGATACATTTAAAGCCAAAACAAGGAGGAGAAGAATTTCCATGGTTGCTACATGTACCAGCCACACAGGGAAGGCTGGACCCGGGGAAGCTTTAAGGATGCGACGTCCCGTACAAAAGTTACACCCTAAAATAATTATACAAACAATTCCTATGACTTCATTGAAAGGCACAGTTACTGTTTATATTGTTTGATCAGTCTTACATGCCTGTATCTGGTAATCTGAGCAACTACTTTGAAGATAACAATATGCAATATAATAACCATTGTTAATTTCCTATCATCTTGTTTTCAAATTGTGTCATTGTATTGTTTTTTTAATTATTTAAAATTTAAAATTTAAAAAAATTTTAAAAATTTTTAAAATTTAAAAAAATGCAAAAAAAAGTTACACCCATTAAAATCCAAGAAGGACCTGCTCTCCAAATTCCCGCGGGTGTGACCTCGGCCTACCTTTTGGCTGCCGGCACGGTGCTTTCTTTCCTGGCCCCCGAGGGGGACGGCAGGGAGCCACTGGGTTTCTTTGGTAACACGGTGCCGTTGTTGACGGTGGTTCTTAAAGGCAGGGTCTGCACCAGTGGTCTCGCTGTAAGGCAAGCGGGAGAGGAAATGAGAAGGGTCCCCTTGGCAATGGGGACATTACAGAAGTTAAGCCGTGCAGAAAGGAAGAGGGTGTCAACTGGAAATGCTGGCAGCAGTGATACAGGTCTCGGAACACACGGTGCTCAAAAGTGAACCTAGGCACCAGCCCCACACTCTATCCAAAGAGGAACTCAGGATCTGCAAAAAGTCCAGAGCTGTAACTTTTCTAGGAGCCGCCAGTCTAGGATTTGGTGACGATTTTAGATACAACACCGAAAGCACAAGCCATGATAGAAAAAAATTGGACAATGTAGCCCTCATTAAAAAAAACTTTAAAAAATTACAAAAGATGCTCAAGAGGATAAAAATACAAATCATACATCGAGACCAAAAATACTTGCAGACTGCATATCTGATAAAAGGCCTGCGTGGAGAACATAAAAAGAATCCTCAAAATTCAACAGGAAGAAAATATCCAGTCCAGTTTCAAAATGTGCAAAAGATCTGAATAGACTCCTCCCCAAGAACATATGCAGACTGCGGATAAGCATGTGGAGAGACGCTGAACGTCGTCTGTCATGAAGAGATGCACACAGCAGTCAGAGAGCTCTCCATACACCGACCAGCATGGCCGACGTCCCAGCCGATAAACCACCTGTTGGCCAGGACGTGCAGCAACAGGAGGTCTCGCTCGTTACTGGAGAGAACGCAGAATGGTGCGGCCACTCTGGAAGACAGCTCGGCAGTTTCTGATAAGGTAAATATAGTCTTACCGTATGATCCAGTAATTGCGCTGACACTAGGTATTTACCCGATTGATCTGAGAACTTCTGTCTATACAAACTTGTATGTCAATATTTGTAGCAGCTTTATTCCTGCTGGTCAGAAGCCAGCACCAGCCAAGATACCCTTTGACAGGTAAGCGGACAAACAGACCGGTCCGCTCGAACAGCACACCAGGACTCAAGGATGAAGAGGGTGGACCGAGCCGGCTGAGGTGGTGCACACCTGGAACCCCTGCGACTCGGGCGGCCGAGGCAGAAGGCAGGACACACACCTGACTCTGGAGCGCGCGTGGCACGGTGAATTCCTCACCCGCAGGACAGCAAGGGGCGCAGGTGTACTTCACAGGGAAGCCCACCAGGTGCCCGCCCAGCCAACCGATCCTGGCCGTGTGGACAGCAGTGTGAGTGCATCACGCACGGCGCCTGCCCTGGTATGTGACGCGACAGTGCTGTGAGAATGCAGCCTTCCTCTCTGAAGCCCACGACCCGAGTCCATCGCAAGAGCATCGGACAGCCCCCCTCGGAAGGTCAGCGAACCACCTGCCCAGTACTCCTGGTGGCTGTCAGTCACCAGCAGCAAGGAATGCTGTCCCTCTACAGGACACAGGGGCCCGTGGTGATGAGCTGTGCTATGGTATCCCAGACGCATTCCAGAACAACGAGGGCCCTGGGGACTAAAGCAAGGGAGCCCTGACTACATCTCCAGCCCCATCCATCCACCCATCTGTCCATCCATCCACCATTATCTATCTATCTATCTATCTATCTATCTATTTATCTATCTATCTATCTATCTATCTATAGGGCAGGGCCTTGGTAAGTTGCCCAGGATGGCCTTGAACTTTCAATCCTCCTGCCTCAGCCTCCCACATATCTGAGATTACAGGTGTGTGCTACCACCCGGCTAAAGCATGGCCTTTACTTAACAATGATGTATCCGCAGTGGTCCATCTGCGCCACATTGACGTAAGACATGAACAGCAGGGAAAACTGGGCAGAGGGTGCCAGTGAACTCTCCACATTTGGGGCTTTTCTGTAGACCTGAAACTGCTTTAAAATAAGTTCATTTTAAAATGCTATGACAATTTACTGTAATCTCAAAATTACACACACATCTCAAAATTACATCTGCCTCACGGTAGGCTGTTAGCATTTACCTGCACATAATGCCGAAGTTTCAACACACAGAAACTTTCAGTGGCTAAAGCCCAGGACCAGGCTTGCTTCTTGTGGGACACAGTGGGTGGACCCCAGCAGCGCCGGCAGCTGAGAGTGTGACCTTCCCTACTGGCCAAGCCCTGCAACCCAAGTCTGAGCGTGCACCCAGCCGGCCGGGCGGGGTGCAAACACCACAGTGCAGCCCCGGCTCCCAGCCAGGCTGCAGCCTCCCTTGTGCACGCAGGCGCTCTCCTTGCACACGTCCACGCCCTCCACAACCCTTACCCTGCTTCTCTCTGCCCCTCCGCCATTTCAGCCCCCAGCCCATGTTGCAAAGTTGCATGCATTTGGTCAGTGCCCCCCAACTCACATCCCCCGACAACCCCAGAATGTGACTGGATGTGGAAAAGGGGTCTTTGTAGGTGTGATCAAAGTAAGGCTGTCCATGAGACCGAATGGATTCAGGGGTCTGGGAACAAACTTTTAACAATGTATATTAATATTTAATATCTGATCATTAAAAACCTTTCAGTAGGTCTAGGAATAAATTTAATTATGCAATTGATATGTATGTGATTAATGTAGAAAGCCAAAGTTTAATTTTGGCCCATCTGACCATTATGTAGCAAGAATCCTTAATTATGTACTTCAAACTTGAAAGGATGTTTGTGTTCTGGTCTGGAGAAGGCAGAACGTGCTGGGGAGGATGCCCACCATCACCCTCACCCTCACCAACACCCAGCAAAGCTATAGATGCGTTCAGTCTTGGCACCCGGAGCCTGACCTTGAGGAACATCCCAATAAAGACACACAGTGCCAGGGGCACAGGTCCCAGCTGGCGGTGCTGTCTGTGAGAGGAATAAACCAGAGCCCAGCTGCAGGGAGGAGCTCAGAGCTCCCTCCGGAGCAAGAAGAGCTCCCGGAGGGCCATGAGCATTTCCAGGACACTGAGAGAACAGAGACAGGCCAGGTCTGGATCTGCCATGCCAGGGAGCTGAAGACTCAAAGCAGACTTAACACACTCTTGCTACCTCATTTTAGAAAAGATTTTATAAGTATCAAAGTGCACAAGTCAAATTTTAATATACTGTACCAATGTAATGTACTGTATCTGTAGGAGAGGCCGTCCACTGTACCATGTTCTTAAGTTTTAATTCTGAGGCATGGGTCTAGCAGTGTAAGAGTCTTGTAACATTAAAAATTCAATATACAACTAGCTATGTTGATGCATGCCTATAATCCCAGCACCCCCAGGAAGCTGAGGCAGGAAAATCACTGAAAGTTTGAGGCCAGCCTGGGCTACATACTGAGTTCAGGACCAGCATGAACTACATGGTGAGATTTTGTCTCAAACAAAACAAAACCAAAAGCACACAAACACACAGAAAAATCAATCAGTACAGTAAGAATATATGTGGGACAAAAAGACACTAATGAACTGACGTCATCTCACATAGTTACTTATTAACAACTTAAATGTCCATCAACTGAAAAATGGGTAAAGAAAATGTTGAATTTAGGCAATACTTATTCCATAAAAATAAGGAGTAGTGCTTGCTGTAGCACAGATCTACCTCGAAAATAACCACAGTAAGGGAGAGAAGACAGTGGCAAAAACCACATATTGAACTGCTGAAGTCAGTCATAGAAAACATCCGAGGCAGGCAAATTCACAGAGACAGAAAGTAGATTAGTGGGGGTGTGGCTGGGGGAAGGGGTGACCAGGAATGGCTGCTAACGGATGTGGGGCTTCCTTACGGGTGATGAATTAGATTAAAACTACGTAGGGGTGATGATTTAACAACTGTGTGACTACATTAAAAATCAATGAATGGCACACTTTTAAAGGGTAACTTTTATGATACAAGAATTACATCTCAATAAAACTGCTATTGAAAAATAATTTATTACACAACTAGGGAAATTGGAGTGCTGACTTGGTATTAGAAGATGGTAAGGAATTATTATTAATTTTAAGTGTAATAATGGCTTTATAGATGTAGAGTTTTTATAGCTTAGAAATACACAGACATATTTATGGATAAGATGATATAGTGTCGTGAATTTCCTTTAAAATAACCCAATCTGGTGTGAGCCAGAGTAAAGGAGCAATAAATATAAGTGCTCAGAGGATGACAAATGGTGAGAGCAGGTAAAAGGTGCTTTTCTTTCTGTTTCTGTGTACATTTAAACATTTTCATATTACAAAGTTTTACAACAATCTTTTTTTTAAAAAAAAAATCTCTGAAAAGCTAAAATCATCTTCTAAACCTTTCCTACAAATCACTACAGAATACCTACCTTAATGGGGGAGGGATGAGAAAACCAGAAGAAACCATAATGTGCTCTAACAAATCAAGTAAACAAGAAGTTATTTTTCCGTAATGCCCTAACTTGGAAGGAGAAGGACAGGAAGAAAGCACAGAAGACACATGAACCATTTAGGCCCTAGTTTTGGTTAATCAAGACACAGAACTAAGTTAATTCTTCACTGATGGGGAAGACAGACATTTTTAATTTGTCAGTTGCACTACCTAGTAAAATCTGTGAGGGGACCACAGCAAAATATTCTACACACAGCTACGCTGAATGTGGTCTGCTGCATTTACAGTATTTTGCAAACCAAGTTAAACCTTGATAAAAAGCACTCAGTGAAACATGCAGAGCTATAGCTTCGTAAGTATTTGTTCTGATTTGAATAATACTAATTTAATTGCAGTAATACTAATCATATTGCAAGAGGCACCGTGCATGGATAGCAGAAGGACGATGGGTTCTGCCAGGCCCTGGGACGGGGCGTCCCCGGCCAGCTGTGCAGCCTGGGGCAAAGTATCCAGCCTCCTTGCAAGGGCGCAGAAATACTTGCTGCAGGCAGTCGAGGGGAGAAGAGGTGCACTAGCACAGCCAGAGCACCCATCACCAAGTCCAAAGCAGATGGCGGTTCTGAGACGACTTTGAAGACTGCGTGAAGTGTTAAGCTGGGACCAGCTCCTCATGGGGCATCTGTCTGAGGTCTGCTGCTGACAGTGGCTGTGGCCGGGAGGGTTTTGGTGTCTTCTAT